GACAATATCACCTTACCTCCTATTGATCCGATTGCAGCGGTACCAGCTAATTTGGATACAGCCTGTTCCAAATCTTCAAAAGTCCAATCTACACATTTCCCCGGTCTTCAATGCCAAGAAATTTGCTGGACACAATATGGACCCCTTTTTCAAGGCCCAGGATATTGATGACAACTTTAAATTAATCAGCGATGCCAAGTCCAGAAGTTACAAAGTAGACGATCGCAAATTCGCTCAACTAGATACCATCGCCAGGAGGATGTTCTTTGGATTGAATAGATCTAGAACGATTAATGAAACTCTCATCACCAAGTTCAAGAATTCTACAGAGGAGGAAGATAGAATGATCTACTCAGCTCTACTCATGCAGAAAAGAGACCACCAATTTCTTACAGAGCACCTATCAGCACTTACTGAAACTACTACCATGGCTCGTCGGCAAGGCTTACTAGCCTCCTGCTCTTGGGATAAGCAATTTACAGAATCTCTATACACAGCTCCATGGTCATCGCCCTTACTGTTTGGTGGCAACATAGACAAGGTATCCAAAGAAGTATCTAAAGACTCAAGAGAGGTTCTTATGATCAGATCCATGGACACCTTAGCGAACGTCATTAAACAGTCAACACAGAGATACTCAGGCAAGTCTAAGTTTTCGGGGCTACAGAAAGCACGGGACAAGAAATTAGCTGCAGCTAAAGATCCCAAGGATTCTTTTCGTCGCCCATACAACAAATTTAGGGGAGGATCAGCTAGAGGCAGATCATCCAGAGGTGCCCGTGGATTTAGACGATGAAATTCAGGTTCGGAACGACTGGAGTCTTCCACCCCCAGCCGTTCCAGTACAACCGTCTCAAGTGGGTGGACGCCTTCAGCTACACTGGGAAAACTGGGGAATACTACAAGATCCATATGTATCCAACATCCTACAGCACGGATATCTAATACAACTCAAGGCCAAGCCTCCGTTAACAGTCAACCCCCCCAGGGTTCAACGTTCAACCGGCACAACTACCTATGTTAAGAGAAACAGTACTTACTCTACTAAACAAACAGGCCTTAGAAGTTCTGGATCAACGAAACATCGTACCAGGTTTCTACTCCCCAGTTTTCCTAGTGCCGAAGAAAAATTCCAAGGAGAAGTTTCGTCTCATATACAACATGAGCATCTTCAACAGAGAATATCTATGCAACCCTCCAACACTTCGCATGATACACTTACCGCAACTTCGGCAATTGATTCGTCCCAAAGATTACATGGCCAGCATAGATTTGCAAGACGCATATCTACACATTCCGATTCATCCCAACTCAAGGAAATATCTAAGATTTATCCTAGACGGGAACATTACCAATGGAAGGTTCTTCTCGTCGGAATCACATCGGCCCCTTCGGTATTCACAAGAGTGACCAAGCCTATTGTCTCATACCTACATCGTCAAGGTCTTCGCAGCGCTTTTTACCTAGACGACGTATACAAGTGGATCCAGATCCACAGCGTCTCAGACTACAGCTGAAATTTATAATCAAGCTACTAACACAATTAGGATGGTTAGTAAATCTACTCAAGTCGGACCTAGAACCAACACAAGATCTGCAGTTTCTAGGTATACGATTTCTAACAGCTCAGAATCATATTGTAGTCCCGGGAGGACAGATGGATCAAGATCCAACAACTTATTCCTCAAGCCCTACTCTCTCCGTTACCACTACGACAGTGGCAGAGCCTATTGGGATTACTCACATCAGCTCAAGACTTGACAGTCAGAGGCAGGCTTCAATTACGTCCGTTACAAGTCCTCATCAATGCTCATCTCGAGGACCCTCTACCATTCAGTCTACCAGATTATGTCAAACCACATCTACTCTGGTGGACCAAGAGATTGAATGTTTGCGTAGGCGTCTCCTTAGTAGAGCCGGAATCGAACTCACATCTCTACGTAGACGCGTCACTACAAGGTTGGGGAGCCCACCTTGCTGGCAGGACAGCGTCAGGCCTATGGAGCAATCAAGAGAGCAAATGTCACATAAATCTGCTAGAGATGCAAGCAGTCATAAACGCCATAAGTCACTGGAGCAACATACTACAGAACGCTCAGTTGATGGTTCACACAGACAATTCAACAGTGGCGTTTATGTGAACAAACAAGGTTCAACAAGGTCACAGAACCTACTGACTCGATGTTTCAGACTGTTCGATTTAATCGACAATCTAAACATACACGTCAGAGCTTGCCACATTCCAGGAGCAAAGAATGTATTAGCAGACGCTCTCTCTCGGCCACACCAACAGTCGCCGACAGAATGGATGCTCCACACAGAGATATTCCATCAAATAATCATGGAAATAGGATCTCCACTGATAGACCTATTCGCCACTCGATTCAACAAGCAACTGACAACATTCGTGTCGCCAGTGCCAGACCCACTAGCATGGGCAACGGACGCACTAAGCATATCGTGGGAGAGACTCAACGCGTACGCTTTCCCGCCTCCAGCGTTGATCCCACAAGTCTTACAGAAAATCAGTCAAACGCAGAGCCTCCATCTGATTTTAGTCGCGCCCTACTGGCCAGCAAGAACTTGGTTTCCAGATCTCATTCAAGTAATGGGAAAACCAATTCTTCAGCTCCCACAACGCGCCAATCTATTGATACATCCGCACACCAAACAAGTGCACGAAACACCAGAAGCATTCCAACTTCACGTATGGATTGTATCAAGGCATGTCTGAATAAGAGAGGTTATTCTGCCAGAGCGGCTAAAGCGGTCACGCTTGCACTACGTAACTCAACTCGTAACTTGTACGATGACAAATGGCACAGTTTTGTCAATTACGCTGCTAAGAAAGGATTTACAGCCAGATATGCTACACATCCTCAAGTGGCAGATTTCTTATGTTATCTACGGCAAACTAAGAATCTAAAAGGCTCAACCTTGTCCACTTATCTTGCAGCCATAAGTTCTGTCATAACTATGCGAACGGGCGTCAAGTTAACAAAAACACCGGAGTTACTCGCTTTGTTACGAGCGTTCCAATTGGAGGATCAGAAACGGAAGTTTCAAGCTCCAGCCTGGGATCTAAATATAGTGCTCCAACACCTCACTAGTGAGGCTTATGAACCATTGCTATCTACATCGTTTGAATCACTGACCCACAAAACCTTATTCCTGTTAGCGCTAGCTACGGCCGCCAGGATGTCAGAGATTCACGCTTTGGATTACGAGAGAATACGCTTTGATGATATTCATAACATCGCTCATCTGGGACTTCGCTGGGATTTTATAGCGAAAAACCAACTGCCAGGTCAACCAGACAGATTATTTCACATCCCAGCTCTCTCATCCATACTTGGACCGCATGATACGATGGATCTATCACTATGCCCAGTGAGGGCACTGAAAATATATCTCCAACGATCCAAACAGAGCAGAGGGAAATTCAAGAGATTATTTATCCCTATATCTACAGCTACGCAGACGGAAGTCTCACGTACTACGATCTCTATCTGGATCAGAACTGTCATATTACGTGCCTACAAGGCTGCAGGACTCGACCCTCCAAGAGCTTCTAATCCTCACGAAATTAGAGCGCTAGCCTCAACTCTCGCTCTACATGGGAATTGCTCGTTGAATACCATAATGGAGGGATGTTTCTGGAGATCCGATATGGTGTTTGCCAACCACTATCTGAGAGATATCACCACCGAGGACGTCTCAGGTATCCACCATTTCGGTCCCATGGTCCTCGCTCAACAGTTGACAGTTCCACGGAGAAGATAAGTCTATCTTGCAGATTTTATACTTATCTGATAACAGTACTAATAGCTACATGCTATCTATATATTTTGCTTAGGTTTAATTTATTATCTTAAGCTCAGTACTATATAAGCTTACAACTCCTAGGAGTTTTGCTACTATATAGATAGGTTCTGCTTAAGTTTCATCAATCCTTAAGCTCAGTCATATGGTCATATGCATAAATGTATTAGTTAACGAACTCTAAGGAGTTGGTTACTATTATACAGCTTAAGTTATAATTATATCTTAAGCACTATACTATACTATTATAGCTTAAATATATGCATATCTTAAGCTTAATACTTTGGTTAATTTATAAAAGTATCCACTATAAACTCACAGAAGTTTATATTATCACATTAATAGCTTCAGCTTACATTAATGTTGTATATACTTTTATCATATTCTATAAATTGTAATAACCTTTATATGGCAGCTGATAAGTTAAACAGCAGGAATTCATCAGTTCAGTGCCTTTATGAAGTTCCCATAGGGTTATTACAATCATCACGGTTCAAATCACTAATTGTTAAAATCCAAAGTATATATATTCCCACCTCCTTTTCCTTCCGATTCTACAAGCAATAAGCATGAGTCAGGATAAGGAAAAATATGAAATTTTTAGAGTAAAATTAATATTTTATACTTATCCTGACTCATGAGGTAAGCCCTCCCGTCCTCCCCACTTAACACTTTGGATTTCTTCGGAAAAATAAAGTGTCGGGCTCGAAACAAAAGGAGAGAGTGAGGCACATGGGTTCGGGTGGCGCCCTCGTTCCCGCGCTTGTGGAAGGGAGGTAACTCGTGGTGAGTACTGATTAGTGATTTTTTAATTGAAGGGAACTTCAATTGGGAGATACACGTGTTCCACTATGTTCGCAAGAAGAAGAAGACAAGCAATAAGCATGAGTCAGGATAAGTATAAAATATTAATTTTACTCTAAAAATTTCATTTTTGTTTTGTATATATTTGAATTAGTTTTTAATAATGGACATTTTACTGATTACATGTACCCCATTGAGGACTTTCTTCCAAGAATCCGTAACCTCTACAGGTTTGTACAAGTTTAGGAGGTTTTGGAGGCAGATAGATTGTATTTTGTATGTACATTTAGATGAATGATTAGTGAAAATGCTTTTGATGTTCTCATGTCAACTAACATGTTCTTTGGACATCATCTATGTTTCTATGATTTCAGCTCACAACGAACATGAGCTCACAGGCAATGAAGATCCTAGCATCCTCCATGCTTACATTGCCTACCTCCCCAGCAAGATGGCCTACAGGGAGGGTATGTCTCTAATTTGGGGTTTTCAAATATAACTTCAGATATATTTGGTGAAATATAAGGACATATATATCAAAATATGACCTTTGTAAATTGATACATGTGATGCAGGATTTGAAAATAGCGTTGTAGTAATCTCCTTTAAGCAAGGAACGTCACAAACTGTCATTGTAGGGGTGTAGGATTTCAAGTGGCACAAACATTACATGTACCAACAAGTATAAAACATGGCCGACAAAGATGGCAGCTGAGCAGGCACAAATGCTTATGTGTTGCCTGACCTTATAAATATTACTAATAAACTTAACATAATAATCTGTATGCCTTAAAAATGAAAATCATGGCTATAAACATTAATGTACTTACTCTATTCTTAAAACACATTCATACCTTTACATCACACAATATCTTAGCCTAAGCAAGAATAATGTTTATAATATAACTATACTTAAATATTAGAACCTACCAGAGACCATGGTCTCTGAACCTACATAATGTTCATAAATTAGTTAACTAACCTTGAACAGAGAATAGTTGTAGAGCAAAAAAGGAGAAATCAGATGTCCTGCAAAAATGTCAAAACTCTTGTTTTAATGTGCCTCCTGTGCAGCTGTAGGTGGAATATAATATGTGCTGATGTTAGTGGAGAAAAGTAGACAACAATCAGAGATCAAGGATTAGCTTGTCCCCTGAATGAAGAACAAAAGAATACCCTGCTCTCCCACAATAGAGCCCAGGTCCAGCTTGGGGCAATCAAGCTGGAGACAAATACCATACAGACTCCAATAAGAACCTAATCCACTAAAACTACCACAACCAAACTGTTTAAAGACAATACCGTATTTACACAAATAAATTTTATGTAAAATATGACTCTGCCACAAGGAAATCAAATAGATCATGATTTAATGCAGCTGTTGTTGTTGTTCTAGTGTTGAAGTTCAAGCGCCGGGCACGCTACCTGGAGTTCTTCGTCCATGTTGCCCAGAAAGGACTGACAGAAGGTCTGGCTGAGCAGGTGGTGGACTGGTGCGACGACTCCATCAACTGGCTGTCCAAGTAGGTGTTCCAATGTACACCTGTACAGATCATTTGTACATGCAGGACATAAAGAGCCTTTTGTCACAAAACCTCTGACAATATATTTTGTACAGTGGATAAATTTGAAGATAAGCATGTTTATTTAAGAAAAAGGTTATTTCATGCAAATATTTAAATGATGTTACTATTCCTTGTTGTTCCAGGCGAAATGAACAGATCATTGGCAACCGAGTGTTTATGAGCAAACAGCCTGGAGTGATCACCATAGGTGGAGATGACCCCAAGAAGTTTGCTGCGGCCATGGTGGAGTACAGCAAGGACAAGGTGGATAGGATGGTCAGACACTGCAGATATTTCTGCATGCTGTTGATTTGTGGAATTATTTGTTGCTTTGCTGTCACCTGCTCACTGAGCATGAGTTTTCCTTCAAATTAATGATAATAATATCAGAAATGATTTTTTCATTGATAAATAGGGCCTGGGAAGGAATAGTTACCATGAGAAATACATGGGAATGCTTGTTGAATGTTATGCCCATGATGGTGTTGAGGAGTTAAGAGAGACATGCTCTGACATGTTGACAGGAAGCCACACCTAGAGGCAGTGTGAAGCCGACAGGACCAGGCAAGGCTGGAGGACGACCAAAGAAGAAGGCAAGATATAAGGTAAGTCACTATCAAGTCAGACATTTTTGTAGTGATTCACAAATTGTTTCCTACTTCCAGCGAAACAGTGACTCAGTTTGTTGTAAATCTTTCATATGGAAGCTGATTATTTTGTTGAAAGCAAGTATGTTTCATGTTGTTGTTTTCGCAAGGCTGTCATGATATAATGTATTCCTTCTCACTGTATTCACTGTATGTCCTTTGTTAGCCCATCGGCATCACCCCTCACATGACAGATGCAGCCCGCCACGCCCAGGAGGAAGCTGAGTTGAAGGTGAGTCTCTGAAACAAACAAACAGTTGTGAAAATAGCGTAAACTCACTGGTTATGTTGACAGTCATGGCAAAATGGAAAAATATATACTGTCAGTAGAAATCAGAGGGTATATCTACACAATACAACTGTGTCCATGTTTAACACAATGTATGTTAAAGGCTTACCTTTAACCATTGTACTTAGTCTTCATGTAAGAACATGAATTTCTTGCCTCTGTAAGATATCTTGCTTTTGCATAAGTTTATTATCCCCCGCCACGCATTTAACGCGAAGCGGGGGATATAGTATTAGGCTCCGTCCGTCCGTATGAATTGGAATATCTTAAGAACCGTTCTCTAGATTCTTTTCATATTTGGTACCTAGGTTCATCACAGTATAAGAAAGGTCCAAGTCAGGTTTGGTGACCTTGACCTTCATTTCAAGGTCACAAGGGGACTTTCACGTATTACCTGCATGTTAAGCTATCTCAAGAACCATTCACTGGACTTTCTTCATATTCAATACAAAGCTTTATCTAGGGAAGGCGCAGGGCCCAGTCGATTTTGGTGACCTTCACATAATTTTCAAGGTCATGGCGACACTTTGAAGATTTCAGCATGTAAACCTGCATGTTAAGCTATCTCAAGAACCGTTCACTGGATTGTCTTCATATTTGAAACAAAGCTTTATCTAGGGAAGGTGCAGGGCCCAGTCAATTTTGGTGACCTTCACTTAATTTTCAAGGTCACAGAGACACTTTGAAGAATTCAGCATATTAACCTGCAGGTTATGCTTGTCAGCAAGATATCTCAAGAACCATTCACTGGAGTTTCTTCATATTTGACACCAAGCTTCATCCAGGGAAGGCGCAGAGCCCAGTCGATTTTGGTGACCTTCACTTAGTTTTCAAGGTCACAGCGACACTTTGAAGATTTCAGCATGTTAACCTGAATTGTCAGCAAGATATTTCAAGAACGGTTCACTGGATTTTCTTCAGACTTTCAATACTTCCCTTAAATGTTGTTCAATAAGCAATTTCTTTAGTATTATTTTGCATATTTCATACACTATGACATTCATGTCAAGGTCAAAGTCAGTTTTAAAAATATGTGTGTGTTTGAACGCCTAAAGAGCAAGATATCAAGAGAGGTTGACTGGTCATGTTTTTGTTGACATTTAACTTAAACTTTCATTACTTTATAAGTTTGATTTGATCATTTGCGGCGGGGGATTATGTCACCTTAGTGACAATGCTTGTTCTGTTAATTGTTAGCATATACTTGAAGAAGAGATATTGTTTTCTTTTAAAAGGAATATCTACAGACTAAACACGAAGTATATGTCACATGTTTTGTGCTCTCTCCTCCATGCTATAACACACTGCCTCTGTTTCTTGATGCATACAAGAGTGAAACTGAGTTAATACTGGAAAATCTCCGAAATATTGAGAATGTAAGTTGAAAGCCTGTTGTACCACAACCATGCATGGAACCACAAGCACTTGAAGCATGAAAATATATACCTAACCAGATACTATGTCAAGTAAATGGTCCATCTGCACTTGGTGGGAAGAAAGGCTGTATAGAAAATGGTTGGAGTTTTATGGCAAGGTGCAGGGTATATACTGGAGTTGTTGAAGAGCTTAGTATATACCCAGATCTACCTGTAGAGAGATGTATGCAGCAACTAGCCACAGTTTGTAATCAGCTGTAGTGTATCCTGAACCACCCCCTCACTCACACACAATTCAGAAATAGGTCTGTACTTTGTCATACATGTGTGTCAATGCACAATCTGCACAAAGGTTTGACTTGTGGAATTCTTGAATTCTTGAAGAATGACATTGTATTGCTTAGATGTAGTTGTGTTTAATGTGTTGAGAAGTGAATCTACAGTGTGGTTGAGTTGGTGTTACATGTCTGACAGGCCCTGGAGAAGCTGGGGCTTTATCTACCTGATGCTTACCGCACTGCAAACCGTCGCCGCCGGATGAGGAAGATCAGCACTGATGAACTGCCATGGAGGACCCAGGTACTGCTGCACAAGGGTCTCAGTAAAACTTGTTGTTTGCCTTGGTTCTGCACAGTTAAAAAGATTAATGTCCTCCATAGATGCCATGTCATCAAATGTTTAAGTGACATCCTTCAGACGAGGACAGTATATTTATTTTGAACAATCTGAATGTAAAGTTATTATGAGTGGTTTTGAAGACAAACCATCTGGCAAGAATGTCATAATCCCAGAAACCCACCATGATCATGGTCATTTTGTTGATTATGTTAATTCTATAACTTCTCTGAATTGCAGCTGAGCATTGTGCAGGGACTGAGTCACTTTGGGGCCTTCCTACAGAAGCTGGAGAAGAGGGAGAAAGTCCTGGGTTCATCCAGCTGCAACATGTACAAGTAAGATAGCTCTCTGTGTCACCGCCATCGTCAATTCTGGGCTTTGGCTGCAATACATGATTAGGTTATATAAACTTCTTGTTGAACTATAAACAGGCCATTGTGAAAGCTATGACAACTGTTTGTATGTATGCATCATGTTGACATCTGCAGGACATCCTTCCTGGACCAGGAATGGTTCACCTTTGAGACAGCTGGAACCCTGGTTGTGGGTTGGGAGGGTGGCCCAGCTCGACAAACATCCGCTCTTGGACTCGCAGCCTCACCACGAAAGAGTGATGAGCCTGTGTCAGCTTTAAATGCCCTTGACCTTGCTGTCGAACAGGACAGACCGAAAACTACAGGCATTGAGTTTGCTGCAGCTGCTGCTACTGGTGTGTATTAACTGCTAAGTCCAGTCTATCATCTGGTGTATTTTGACATGGAATCGAACAATTCTTCAAATGTTTGTGACATGCTTGATATTCCGCTGTTCTGTTGAAGACAGCTTTGGGGATGATGCAATACTCTGGTTTTAAATGTGTCTTAAAAAAAAAATTTCCTTGTAAATTTGCTATTAACAGATATGTGGCACTGTCAATGTATTCCTCCTAACTATCTAGCTGGAGGGAATCAAAGACAGGTGTGCACAGTTTCAGAGGGGCGGTTACGTAACAGATTATACATATGTGAGGGTCCGGATTAACTGAGGGGTCTTTATACTGGTGTCACAAATGGTATTTTTCTGCTTTATACAAAATTAGTACATGTTGTAGTCCAAATGTTTTTATGGCAAATGTCATTTATAATGTAGAGAGGTATGTAAGATTTTTAAGTAGTTATCAAAGTATGCCAGAAATTAAACCATCAATTCCTCATGTTGGTTTTCCTAGGTGCCCCACCACCTCCCTTGTACACCATCCCACCTGAGGCAGAGGACACGCCCAGGACGTACCGATCAGAGCAGGTGTCATCCAGATATGAACACAAGCATCACATTGATCCTGACACATCACCCCTGTCCACACGAGCAACAGTAGAAGCTCTCAGCAGAACATTCAAATACTTCAAACATGCAGTGGTGAGTAACTGTCCCTGTATAGATCATGTCATCCATAAAGTGTCATAGCGTTACAGCCCATCGTAACTCTATACTTTATCATAGGCTTACGAATTGTGTAGCGCTTCAAATAGTTTGTGATTAGAGTGCAAGCTTTAAAATGGTTTTCTTGATCACAACTGACAAAAACATTATGACCATGATGCTTGTTCCTGTTTCAGACTCTAGCCCACAGAGGGCAGCACTGGACACTGTTACAGAACGCAGCACGTGCTCTGTGGAACTGTGCCCATACTGCCTTGCTGCGTGCCTTCACTGCCAACCAGGGGGGTCAGGATGCAGGCCTGCTCACCATCGATGTCCTACGCTCACTGGTGTGGTCACCTCTCCACATGGCTGCAGATTGCCTACTGGACATGATGGTGCATCTGCAAGTGGACCTTGACCACCAGTCATTCAAGGTAGGATGGGAAATCTTTACATAGATAGATTTGAAGAAACATTAAGCTGTTGTTATACAGGATCATTGTAAACATCCTCTGCAGTATGGTTTAACTGTAAATGTAATACTGAAATAGTGAACATATGCACAATAAGTGTACAAGGAATATTCTTCTGAGGGAAAGTATCAAGAAATGTTCGTGCAGGACTTGTCTTAAGTCATGAATACACAAATTATAGTGTCTAATGCTTTTGTCTTATAGTCTTTCATTGGCATGCTGTAGGTTGTTTAAGGTATTAAAATGCATTGTCAAATACTAACACCTTTATATGGTTCCTGGAATCTCCACATAGACAAACTGTATATAAAGTGAGTGATGTGGGGTTAAGCAAAGGTGTTAACTTGGGTGAAACTTGGTGGCATGATAATGAGTATCAGTGTAATTACAGAATTTAGCTACACAGATGCTACGGCATGTTTTTGTGCTTTTTTGTTAATTTGTGTTCATAACAGTTTTGCAAAAGCTGACAAAAATATGGGCTTACTTGTAGCACATCCCCACCCTGATACAGTTAGAGATTTGCTAAAACTCAGACTCACTTAGTAAATATACATCACTGATGTTTACAAAAATACAGGCCAAGGCCAAAGGTCGTAAAGCTGGTACTTACTTTGAATCCTGGTATGGAGATGTGAAAAATGAGAAGGGTGGAGCAAGTCTGAAGTTTGAGTCTCCTATGGATGACATGAGCGTGGTGGACGTCCGCTTTATACGTCGCCTGGTTCTGAGAGTGCTTGAGATGCTGTATTATGAGCAGAAGTGGGAAAAGCTGACAGACATTGCTCTCAGATTCAGTGCCATCTCCAAGTGAGTTTGACAGACACTTAGAATGCTATGCTATACAAAATATTTAAAAAATATATATATAACTTTTAGATGAAGCAGGATTTTGACACTGTTTGCTAAATCCAGAATTATTATAAACTTTTGTTCTGTGTACATTTTAGAATGAGACATTTATGTTAATACCTGCTTGATTATGTTCCTAACCTTAAGTGGATACAATCATACAAAGCGTCGTGCAGCTAAATCAGTACGTGATTTACTGTGGTTGTCCACTGTCCGGCATCAGCTGTGTTTTATAAGGGAAATGTAAATAGTAATGTGAAGTATAAACAGTTGTTGATGTGTGAAACACAGTCCTTGTACATGCCTATCAAGCTGCTTTACCTTCTGCCCTCCTAGTGACCGGTATGCAGAGCAAGTGATACCTCTCCTAGTCCAGGCTCAGAGGAAGCTGGACCAGCGTATCACCAAACTGGGTGGAGTTGCCCCTCCTCAGCCTCACTACAGAAAGCTGAAGGCCCAGCTAGGAGGTGTGATCCAGGCCAAGGACTACCTCAAGGCTCAACTGAGGATTGAAATGGACAGATCCAATTATCAACAGTTAGAACCTGGCAGTCAAATCGATCCCTTGGGGCACAATGTACATTCTTGTGAGTAAAACATTTTGTCTAGAAACCCTAAACCAAATATAATATGTCTCGTAAATGTTTGTTCATTGACATAAAATTATCAGTGTCTCTCCAGAACCATAAGGTCTTTGAAGCTTGGTCTGATCTTATATTCAGATGAATTTCAGTTTGATCTGATTTGAAGTTTTATGTCTGAAAAGACAAATATATCAGACATATTTTGTTTAGTATGTTTGTTTTGATCTATTTATATATCGTGCCAAATAATTTTTCTATTTTTCCTTTATCCTGAGTCATATTTATTTGCTTCTCTCTGTTATTGCCCGAGGGCGGTGGGGTAGCCTAGTGGTTAAAGCGTTGGCCTATCAAGCCGAAGACCCGGGTTCGAATCCCCACATGAGTACATTGTGTGAAGCCCATTTCTGGTGTACCCCACCGTGATGTTGCTGGAATATTGCTAAAAGTGGCGTAAAACCAAACTCAGTCAGTCAGTCTTATTGCCCGAGACATTGTGGAAACACCTGACGTATGTCAAGTTACATAAAGGATGAGTGATAGTTAAAAGGAATCATAAGTTGAACAAATTAGTAGACTGTTTCTGAATACACTTGTAATGCTGTTCAATGTGCATTACATGAAATCAAATGGTTGATGTCATGCCAATAATGTGTTTTGGCCTACAGCTGATGACTCACAGCGTATAGTGTCTGTCCCTGTCGATCCTGACAGTAGTCTGAAGACTCTCCGCAACACCCTGGATGCTGCACACTACACCGCCAGGGCGCTGCATCACAGCCGCAAGCTACTGGTGCTGTACCTGGGAGGCCAGATGAATGGTGAGCACCTTCCCCTGAGGGACATATCTCCCACCCTGACTTGTGACAACTGCCATTCCATCACCAACACTGACTTACTGCTCTTGGGCTTAAAGCAATGTGTACTTAGCTACTCACCCTATACTTGAAATGACTATAGCACTTAGATAAATTTGTTGATGGTAGATGTAACACCTTTATGCCTGTTTAAGAGACCTCCTCCCTTGCCCCCATTCCCAAATGGACATGATTCCTAGTTATGTGAATTTTAATGCAGACTTAATGTGTTGATAAATGAACAATCCTGTCTCAATATTAATTTAATTTTGATAAAAATACAGTCATGTTATACGCATTTGATCTTGATGTTGTAATTTATCCTTTTGTGTCTGTCATGGCCTGTGTCCCAAGTTATAGGCTGACTGTCAGACATGGAGCTGATAGGTACCAACAGGTCGTGGTATCACAATTTGTGAGACAGTATTAGCTGTTTTAAGACTGTCTAATTATACCATGCAGCATCTGAAGCACCTCTGAGCAAGTCTCCATCCAAGGTTGAGTTTGTACCCAACACAGCTCACCCCCAACCCACCATGCCGCAAGACTTGAGCCAGGAACAGTTCTTGTCTATCAGCGATATCCAGACATCACCGGTACCACGCTCACAGCTCGGAACTGTCATCTCATCTTATGAGAAAACTATAGGTAATGTTTCAGGAAGCTTTTGCATATGTAGTATCAGTTAGATAAATAGAAAAATAGACAGGTCATGACTACAGTAGTTGTAGTGTGGTTGGAAAATATCAAAAACAAAACTGGTGATAAATTTCTTCAAAGGCATTTAGATGTTGGTGTAGTAATATAGTATGACCAGAAATTATTGAGAATTTTAGGAATATGTTTAATTGGATTTCCAGTATAAACAACCTTGACCAGCTATCAAGTGCTTGGTTTCATTCAAGAGAGACAACTCCGTTAATCCCTTTTCATTAGTTTGTGAAGAGTTATCCCCCTTTGTTTACTTGCTAGCAGACGACATTTCAGTGATCCTCAGTATGAATGATTTAGAGAAGAGGAAGTTGATGTTAGAGTATTATAACAAGGACATCAGATCAGCTAAAGTGATTTCAAGTAGAACAGGCATCCCTTTGTCCACTGTTTATCGTGTTTTGAAAAATATTGCAAATGGATATGGCATTGAGCACCTGGGAGGTGCAGGTTGGCCCAGAAAATTGACTGTCGGTGACAGGAGGCGGCTTGGTATTCTTGTTTCTAAAAACAAACGAAAGAGTTCAGAAAACTTAAGGCTGGATATGATTGATAGAGGAACTGTGGCTGTCTGTAAGGAGACAATTAGAACTGAGCTGCATGCAATGGGTTGGCAGAAAAGTCGAGGAATTCCATCACTGATCATGAAACCTGAACAAAAGGAGCGAGGGTTGAACTGGTGCTTACAGCACAGAAATTTTAACTGGGACAATATGATTTTCTCAGATGAAAGTTCTGTGTGGCTGTTTCCTAATACATTGAAATTCTTGACCAAACAAACTGAAAAACCTTTGTATCAGTGCCCAAAGTACAGTCTGAAATTTAACGTGTAGGGTGGCATATCTGTGTTAGGGGCAACGCCCCTCTGTGTATTTGAAGGGAATATGAACAGTGAGCGGTACACAGATATTCTCAAGCAGGACAACGACCAAAACATCGTTCAAAGCATTCACAGGCCTGGTTTCGGACCCAAAATATGACATTATTAGATTGGCCAAGCTATAACCCTGACCTAAATCCAATAGAAAATGTTTGGGTACTTATGAAGGAAAGTGTCAATAAGAAACATCTGACAAATATTGCTGAAATGAAAGAAGAGGTGGTCCGATATTGGGACAGCATGGACCACAACTTTCTAACTTCTTTGATCAGTAGTATGCCCACGCCGCATTGAAGCCTGCATTGCTGCCCATGGTGACTTGACAAAATACTAACTGTTCATCTGTCTTTGAATCTGGAGTTATGTTCTGCTAATATTCACATTTAATACGTGAGTAATGAGTGAAAAATATTTTAAAAATTACAATCTTTAAATTCTCAATAATTTCTGGTTGTACTGTACAAGACAAGTCTTATGGATAACAACTTCTTGATTTATTTTTCACAATGTTTCTGGGCTAGTTCTTGCCCCTTCTTCAGGTGGATAATGGTGATAGTGTACAGTATATATTTAGATGTACAGGAAGCCAGATATGTAAATTGAGTATATACAAGGGGAAAAGGAGGTTTAATTAAGTATGTACAAACAATGCAGTGAGATCAAAGAGCAGAATACAAAGATAGGGTATGTTTTTACAACACACCCTTGCCCTTATTGTAAAAACATACCCTATCTTTGTATTCTGCTCTTTGATCTCACAGCATTGTTTGTACATACTTAATTAAACCTCCTTTTTCTCTTGTATATTTTATTGTAAATATTGTATATTTTCCCTCAAATATTGTTGTGCAGTTTTCAGCTTTGCATTACCAAGTTCCTGTTTTCTAGACATGTTGATGGCCAAAAACCAGAAAGGTCTTGCTTCCCAAGCCATCAGGGAACTAGGCAACGTGCTGTATCACACTGGCAATATCAGAGGGGCGTACCGGTGCTGGTCAGACTCATTGGACATTGTGCTCAACACCACAGACGCTCTCCACTCCTGGCGGGAGCTGCTGAAGGGAGCTGACGACATCAGCCAGGAGCTGCTCAAGAGATGTGGACTGTGGGGCTGTATACAGGGAGGGATACTGGCATCTAACATGGCACAGTAGGTTGAACTGGCATCTAAAACATGGCAAAAACATGGCAATAACTTTGTACATTTGACAGTCATGAAAACTATTGTATACTCATGGAAACAAATAAGGGAACACATGAAAGAACATGTGTTCCTTTATGATTTTCCAGGTTTCTTCACAAAGTATGTAGTGCACTGTGGGTGAAATTCTGGAAATAAAAAAAGGAACACTTGTCCTTTCAAGTGTTCCCATATTCGTTTCTAGGAGTATATATTTTCAGCTGGTTGGTTGGTTTGTAGTTTAACGCCGCACTCAGCAATATTCCAACTGTATGGTGGCGGTCTGTAAATAATCGAGTCTGGACCAGACAATCCAGTGATCAACATTATGAACATCATTCTACATTAATTGGGATACGATGACATGTGTCAACCAAGTCAGCAAGCCTGACCACCCTGTCACATTAGTTGCCTCATACAACAAGCAAGGGTTACTGAAACCCAATTCTAACCCTGATCTTCATGGGTCAAATTTTCAACTGATATTCATTGTGGGTTTTCATTTGTTAGGTTTAAAGGGCCACTGATCCAGAGTGATTATTGTTTCCAGCCAACAGTCTAATTATGAAACCTAGCTGCAAACTGGTCAGCCTCTGCTCCCTCGACCATGACGGACACGGGGACTGGGCTACTGTCCGCCTTGGCAGAATTTCTTCAACCTAGTCAGTGGGACATTAGGAAGGGTGGATGCCCATCAGATGCCGTTATTTGAAAATATCCCTGGTAGTTCTTGTCTGCTTGTAATAAAGTATCCCAGCAGTGTAGGATTTTTCAGATTTTCAAATGTTTGGATGGTATAGTGACTGATCCAATTTGATCCTACCTCAATAGTTAATCATGTAAAAATATGATGTCTATTACGTATGCTATGATATCAAAAACACACATTTGATATATTTGAATCCATAAACTAAACAACCCCACTTTACCTAGAGTAACGATAGATCACTTTTTCGCATATTAGACTGTTAAAAGACACATGACATGGAACAGGATACTTTGTCAGCTGCAGATGAATGGCATCTCATTCCTTTAACTGGATATTGATGGATACATTCCCCGAACAAGGTAGTAGCCTGATATTGTTGCTATAACTTTAGTCTGTTTTAATTTTAATATTTGCATTTTGTTTTTATATATTTGTTATGGCATTCAACAGAATCATTTTTTTTGCCATGAAGTGTAATGAGACCAACAACATACACTAGGTTGCACTCAGGGTGTGTGTGAAATATGATACACGTTGGTGATCTATAAAATGTCTAGATATTACAATCATGTTATAAATTCACTAAGTATAAGCAGATCGTGTGCATTTTATTAAGTTTCAAAATGCATATAAATATGATAATAAACTAATTAGGATTATAAGACAAAATATAAAGACGTACATTGACTTCGTTATTTAAGTCCTAACGCTTTTTACCATTGGCAGATGGTTAAACTTAAAATGTTTTCATTTGTTATCAAAATAATGCCATTTAATACGACATTCAGATTGACTAGTTGTGAACCCAAACTCACTACTCTCCCCAAGACTCCCAATGTACTTTGTTAGCATTACTTTCAAAACAATGCTATTGTATCAGGCTTCTCACCAAAGTCAAGGTCAAACTATTTCTTAAATCAAATTCTACATCCATTTACGTTAACATTTTTATAAAGTCAACATTACTATGAAATCAAAATTTTACATCAAAATCAGCATTTTTATCAAAGTGAATATTTTTTTAGAAGAAATCAAATTATTCATCAAAGTCTTCATTATTTTTCAACAAAATCAACATAAGGTTATCGAGTAAAAACAATTTCATCTTTGTTGATCAGTCTGTACTTATACTATCAATTGCGCATGAGGGTGGAGCAGCAGAGGTAACAAACCAGTCATGAATTCTGGGATATCATCCGGGTACTCACTGGAGAAAAACAATAGCAAAAGCAACAACCAGTCCACAGAAATTGCTCTGGATCAGTGGCCCTTTAACTTTTACAGTTTTCTAAAAACACATGCCTACTTTGTTTGATAGATTTACATACTTTGATGTATTTGAGATGACATGTTGCAACTGCTATTTACTCTTAATGTTTGTTTATAGGTATGTGTTAACCTCTGACCTTGGACTGCGTATGGAATGTTGCTTTCTGTCTGGCTTCTTCTTCAAGGTAAGGCTGCATTTCACATGAACCCCCAAGAGATGATCAGTGGTCAACAAGAAAACATATGTTCTGTGCTCTAACTGATTTGTTTACTTCAGGGACTGTTCCGGTCATCTCTGCCTCACCCGACTGCTGACTGTGACTATGCCATGTATGAGGTGGGTGAAGGTTGTGAGGTCACTAACCTTGTACCTGGCCTTGACTTCCTGTCAGACAGGTTCCGCTGTGATGGAAGACAACTTATTTCTGCACTGAGATGGGTTACTGAAGAACTCTCCAGAGGAAAGCACAACCTCTTTGTAAGTGAAGTCTTTCTCTCAGCCACATCATGGCTTCTTCTTGGCTTTAATATTCATGTACTTTAAGCTTTTGTCAACTGAACATTTGTGGGGATATTTCAGATGTTTGTTTCTAAAGACCTGTATGACAAAAGAATTTTGTCCAACAAAAGCCCTTTTCTGTTTTGTCAGGTTCTTCCACTGTTGACCTTGTATCAGTATTTCACAACGTTTGTGTGTCGAGATCTGCAGCGAGCTGTGGATGGCCGGATCCTGAAGGTTCGGATCTTGACTGATCTGAGTCTGTACACTGAGGCCTTCATCACCCTGCAGCGACTGCTGCATGGTGAACGTCTTCCTCACACAGGAGACAGCAACTTCAGACAAGTGGAGTCCAGGATGAGCTCCATCAGGTTCAACACTGCCAAGCCTCTCACAGATTCAGTCAATCTCCGGGTAAGAAAGTTTCTATTTGTATCCACTACTGTGAGACAGTGTCTGACAAAATCCTTGTGAAAAATGTAATATGTATGCATCATGTAATAATTATCATGTTACATCTTCAGGTGATTGAGACTGTCCTGGACAAACGGCTGTCGTCCAGCCTCGGGACGTTATATGGCCCTCACATGACTTGCCATCTCTCCATCGTTCAGGCTCACCTCTTTGTAACAATTGCCAGTGCCATCCCTGTCCTGCCTGCTGCTGAGGATGTGATGTAGGTTGCCACTGTGCCACAGAGCCTAGCATGTTATCCTGCTCCTTATTATCTGATGGGTTAAAATGTATCTAGAACAGATTGAGATGGTATTTCAGGGTATTCAGTCATAAATATTGACAGATATTGCCAGAATCAGATATGTTTCAGTCATTCAGTGGGAATCAATGGAACAGTATGTTAACACTTAAAGTGCTAGTCATGTAATCTGGAATCACAGCTTTTACTGTTGAGAAGGACTCAATGTAACTGAACAGAAATTGCAAAGTACATGTAATTTGTTTAGTCAGACTCCAGGACATATGACCAAGTGATATGTTTTTCTGAGCTCTACCCAAGATATGCGTCTGTCATGGTATGACTCAGATTTGTAGTTGATTGTCTCATTTGTAGCAAGATTCAGTTGTTGTATGAGGTGATGTTTGATGTATATACTTGCAGCCTACTGGAAGGCCAGGTCTACATGAAGCCACGTACAATCAGCACTATCTCCCGTGGTGGGCTGGGCAGTAGGGGCCCCAAGCTATCTCAGTACTCCATGAGGTCCCCACATGCAGATTCACCCAGAGATGGTAGGTCCTTCATACCTATATTGGGTAGTGGAGTAGTTACAGTGGTTGCTTGGTTCAGGGTTTTAATCCAAGTTAAGTTGATTATCATACTTGGTCTGACAGCACCAGACACCTCACTTCTTCCTGCATACATCTGGATGTTGTAGGCAATCATGTACACAAATTTTAAATCAATTTCATATGTGTTCTGTTCATTCCATTAAAAAGCAAGACTTCCAAACACACTTGTCAAGTTGTGTGACAACTAAATGCACAACTGTAACTTTTAACCTTTGATTGCTGGGACCCGTGAAGGTCCGGGTTAGAATATTGATCTTCAGTAACCCATGCTTGTCATAAGACGGGATCGGGTGGTCAGGCTCGCTGACTTGGTTGACACATGTCATCGGTTCCCGATTACGCAGATTGATGCTCATGCTGTTGATCACTGGACTGTCTGGTCTGGACTCAATTATTTACAGACCACCGCCATATAGCTGGAGTATTGCTGAGTGCGGCGTAAAACTAAACTCACTCACTCACTTTGATTGCTGAAACTTTCTCAGTTATGTTAGTACTATGATACCCACTTGAATGAGGATATATTTGGTGACTTGTAAATGTAACTAGTATGTGTTTATTGTTCTAAGATGTTTCCCTGAAGATCAATGGTGCCAACTCTAATTTTTAAACTTATCCTATCTCACGGTATGCACCTCACTTCTTCTTCTACGACCATGTGTGGAAACATGCTGTAGACTAAGTTGAATCAAATCCTCTTGACCTCTTCCCCCACTCCGACATCAGCACCTGTCAATCATCTCCGTAAGGGTGCAGCTCGCTCAGATGATCATGTAACTACCTGTGCCTGTCATTCTCTTTCTTGTCGCTACGTTGTGTGGACGTGTGCTTGTCTCTAAGAAAGTTTGATTGTGTTTCTACAATGGGAAAATCGAATCGCAATAGTGCTAAAAAGTGCAAACATTGCGATAAATGCAACAGCAACTTGTCGGCGGCGGACCCACATGCTTTATGTGTTGACTGTTTAGGACGTTGTGAGTGGTCTCAACGTTGCACTTTTTGTGCAGACCTCAACGATGATGCTTTTTCTGAATATCGCCGGGTAACTTGTAGATGTGTGTCAGACAGGGATTGTCGTCAACCATCTGAGGGTCCTTCTGCATCTAAACATTCTAAGACAGTCCGACGTTCAAAGTCCCCGTCGCCTGCTGAAGATTTCCTAGGGGAGGCGTCGGATTCTTACCTCAGTGAAAATTTACGTCAACTTTTCCGGCCGCATGCGTCTAGCCCCATCACTTTAGAAGACTCTTCACCACCTAGGGTTGTCGTGTTGTCTACGTCTTCTCTTCAAACCTGTCCCTCTTTGGTGATACCTATTCCTCAGTGCACTTCTGTTCCTGAGGTGGAGGTTTCTCGTGCGGCTCTTGGTGTGATTACTAGTATTACATCTCAAGTGACGCTTCCATGCAGTGCGCCGCTTTCCACTTCGGTGGTTGATTCTATGCCTGTTTCCCATTCGGGGCTTGTGTCGAATGTGTCAGTTGATTCAGGTGCAGTGGATGGTTTTGACGGTGGGGTTGACAGGTGTGTCAATGATTCCTAGAGTGCCTTTTTCCACATCTATCCTTTATCATGTACCGTTGGGTAATGGACCACCACGCTATTCTAGTGCGTCCTTACATCAGGACAGTTACCTGTTGGTCGGCGCTTGCTCCCGGTGTTCCCAGTTCGGCGCTTCCTCCCGGTGCTCCCAGTTCGGCGCTTATTCATGGAGGCTTTGGTTTGGTGCTTACTCACAGTATTCCCGGTTCGACGCTTGCTCCCGGGGCTCCTGGTTCGGCGCTTACTCACAGGGTTCGTGCTTCAGCGCTTACTCATAGTTCACTGGCTTCAAGGTTGACTCATGGGGCATTTGGTTCGACGCTTCCTCAGGGTTAGCCTCTGCTTACAGCGTAGTAGTTCGTCGGATTTATTATCCTGTTTTGATATGAAACCAGGTGATTTCGGTTCCATCACGTTCCCGCCTCGACTGTGAATTACTCAATTGGCAGCATCTCTGGATGAGGCTTTTGGTAACCTGAGGAAGGTTAAGGATGGATTCGCGGCTCCTCGCTTCAATTTGGCATCTGCTCATGTGCATGGTTTCTCTACCCTGATTGTCTCCCCTCCGGTGGATGATGATATTACGTTGCTGGGAACTAAACAGAAAGCCTACTTGCCGTTCCTCGTGGAGGATCGTGAGCTTTTGCATCTGGATGGTGTCATAAGGAAGATTATGGTGCCACTCAACATGGTGTTGACGACTACCGGAGCGGTGGCTATGTCGGTTGCATATGCTACGTCCCATCAACAAGCGTATATTCGAGCTCCTATGGTCTTATTGAAAGAGCAAGTTCAGACCATTCTGGATCAGTTGGCTCACTTCTTTTCGTATGTCACAGCTGTGCGTTGCAGGGGGCCTTTGCACTTATCCTCATGGGAGGATAGGTTCCGTCCTGATCCCTTTCGGCAGCCGTGGTCTGGCAGGTCTCTTTTCAACAGGGCGATTAGAGATGTCGCCAACAGAGTTGGTCAAGATGCTCATTTACAAGTGTCAGTGGAATTGTTGAAATTCCAACGTTTACAGGTGGAGGAATCGTTGCGTCGGTGACGACCAGCCCGTTATGTTCCTGTCAATCTGGACCTGCGTGCGGGTTCTACTGCTTCCTTTCGTGGAAAGGGATCCATTGGCAGAGGACGGTCCAGCCGTCAACGTCGGGCATTCTCTGCTTCACGACCAGCTTCCACTGCCGACCAGTCCACTTCGCAAAGGCCTGACAAACAGTGACTTGATGACATTAGAACGCGACTGGGTTCTTCCACCTCCAGTCGTGCCCTTTCTGACTTCCCCAGTAGGCGGCCGGCTTGGGACCTATGCTCCCAACTGGATCATCTTGGGAGACCCTTACGTCCTCTCCATGTTTTCCACGGGGTTCCAGCTGCCAATCATCGGGGATATTCCTCTCACTTTACTTCCGGATTGCAGAACGTATCCCGCTCAGCAGACGGCTGTTCTTCGATCCACAATAGACACCTTACTCAAGAAACTTGCGATCGAATCCCTGGGTCAGGCGCCGACCGTCCCAGGGTTCTATTCTCCAATCTTTCTGGTCCCCAAGAAGGATTCGGACAAACTGAGGTTAATCTTCAACATGAAGATATTCAACGAGAGGTTTCTGCAGCCTCCGCCCCATTTTCGCATGGTATCAGTGGCACTCCTCAAGACCATTATCAAGCCAGGAGACTACATGGTCAGTTTGGATCTCCAGGATGCGTACCTGCACATCCCGATCTATCAGTGGCGTGTCCTCCCGTTTTGAATTTCTTCGGGCTCTGTGGCTGTTTACACGGGTAACGAAGCCTATCACCAGTTTCCTTCACCGCAAGGGAATAGTGTTCAAGGCTTACATCGACGACTGCATTCAGGCGCAGACCAATCATGCCCTTCTGCTTCGTCACTTGCAGTTTGCGATACAGCTTCTTCACCAATTAGGCTGGTTAATCAATCTGCAGAAATCGGAACTAGTCCCTACGCGCCTTCTTCAATTCATTGGAGCAGTGTTCGACACAGAGGTCAACAAACTCTTTGTCCCGAGGGATCGTTTCTGCAAGATACAGCGATTGGTCTCTCTGGCACTGGCGCACCCCAGGACGCTTTGTCAGTAGCAGGAGCTCCTGGGCCTCTTGATGTCAGCTTAGGGGTCAACTACAACTTCGTCCCTTGCAGTTCTTTCTAGCGCCTTACATCAGAGTGGGAGATCCCGTTGCCTTGATCACTCAACCTCTGGAGCTCCATCCCCATCTCCTGTGGTGGATGGAAGAATTGAATGTTTGCGACAGAGTTTGTTTAGGGACATTTGTTCCGTCTCACCACCTGTATGTGGACGGGTCTCAACACGGGTGGGGAGCTCATCTTCTCAATCAACAAGTGGCAGGGCTGTGGTCTCTCGTCGATCGCGCCTGTCACATCAACGTTCTGGAGTTCAGGGCGGTGATTCTTGCAATCAGTCACTGGCAGGATGTCCTACGAGCAACTTCCCTCATGATCTGGTCGGACAACCCAGCGCAGGTTTGGCATATCAACAGGATGGGGTCCACAGGGTCTACTCAACTGCTGCAGTGGACCCAACAGTTCTTCGATCTGGTGGACCCTCTCAACATCTTAGTCCGAGCCAACCACATTCCGGGGTGCAGAATGTCATCGCAGATTCTCTGTCTCGGTCGAGTCGTCCCTCTCCAACGGAATGGAGATTACATCCTCAGGTGTTCCAGACCCTTTGTCTTCCGTTGACGACTCTGACAGTAGATCTCTTCCACACCCGCTTCAACCATCAGCTGCCTCGGTTTGTGTCACCGATTCCGGACCCTCTGGCTTGGGACCTCGATGCTCTAGCCATTCCGTGGGACAACCTGAACGCTTACGCGTTTCCACCAGTGGCCCTTCTTCCTCGCATATTAGTGAAACTGCGCGCAACCCAGAGGATGATTCTGCTTTTGGTCGCGCCCCCTATTGGCCGGCCAGAAGTTGGTTCGTAAACCTTCAAGACCTAGCCGAACCAGATCCCGTACCAATTCCCGTTCGACCCAATCTCCTGATACATCCGCACTCACCAACTACATTGGTCCCCTTTGACGCTCCATCTGCACGCTTGGCGCATCTACATCGGTCGTTAACGGCGAAGGGCTATTCTAAACCTGGTGGCTACTGCCATTACTACAGCGCATCATACTTCTACGAGGTAACTCTACGATGACAAATGGAAGATGGAAGATGGTGGCAGAGTACCTTCAACATCTACGAACCTCCAGAAAACTCAAAGGTTCTACACTATCCATCTACCTGGCTGCTCTTAACAGCCTCGGGTGTGAAGGTGTCCACTGTCCCTGAACTCCAGTCTCTCCTCCGGTCTTACAAACTGGCTGACCAATCTCGGAAGTTCCATCCTCCAGCTTGGGATCTTTCCGTTGTACTTGCTCATCTCACGTCAGCTGAATACGAACCTTTGGAGGAGAAAGATTTTGAACATGTCTCCTTTAAGACCTTCTTTCTCTTGGCCTTGGTATTTCCGAGTTGCATGCTCTTGATGTTTCTTGGGTGCGATTCGAAAGGTCTAGACATGCGAGAGTTTTCTTTGGTTTGCGATGGGATTTTCTCACCAAGAATCAGTTACCTGGACAGCCGGATCGCACATTCACAATTCTGCCGTTGTCCACTATCTGGGGCCCAGATGACGCTGAGGATCTGTCCTTATGCCCGGTGCGTGCATTAAGGATTTACCTAGCTGCCTCACAGGATCGCCGCAGACTGCGTAAGAGATTGTTCATTCCATTGTCTACTGCCTCCACCTCGGAAGTCTCCCGTACTACCTTGGCATTTCGGATGCGAACTACGATCCTGCGTGTTTATGCCTTTGTTGACCTACCTCCACCGTCGACGGCGAAGCCTCATGAGACTTGAGCTCTTGCCTCCACAATGGCTCTTCATAGAAATTGTTCCCTGCAGTCCATCATAGAGGGCTGTTTTTGGAGATCCGATACGGTGTTTGCTTCACACTACCTGGAGACCTATCGGTTACAGACGTGGGAGGTCTACATCAATTCGGCCGCTTGGTTCTGGCGCAACAGTTGTCATCGGCCCGTGTTCACAGATAAAGCAATCCTTCTTTGGTCGGTGTTGCTCTGTACATAATAACAGATATCAATGTTATCCATGTCTTGGTACTTTTTTCCATTGGGATTAGATTATTCTCACCTATGGGAATAGGGCGTGTCTGCACTGTCATAAGTTATGACTTAATAGACTGTGAGGTCAGTCTTGTGCTACATGCAGAGATGATCGACACTCCGCTTACTGACCTCTACTCTCCGAGCAATTACACCAGTAAAGTGTTGATTTCCGATTACCTACATGGTTTTCGCAGCGTTCTGCTCCTAAGTCCTTTCTCACCTTGGTAAGTTAGGGAGATTGGTACTGAACGTTAAACTAGTTGAGCAACCGAGCTATTCCCTCTTTCACCGCCTTCCAGTGTGTGTCTGTGGGGGGTAGTTTCGAAGCAGGGACTGGCCAGATTAAGGTCTTCGACTTCGAGGGGTCACCTGATAAATTGCAGGGCAGCGGGGCCTACTTGCCAAACTGCGTCCTTTTGCTTGTCAAAAGTTGCGGCTGAAAACCACATTAATTTGGGAGTGCCCACTCCCTAGAGTTTTTGTGCTGTGTGAGCCAAGGGGTTACAAGAAACCCATCTCAAGTTTGGAGTCTGCATATCGGGAGTTGGTGCTTTCTCCTGGCCTCCTTGGGGTTATTCGTCTTCCCGGTTGTACGTATTGACGAGGTAATCTGTGGCCCTCCTACCAACCATGGGATTGTGCATACCTTGAGATAGGATAAGTTTAAAAATTTGTAAATTTTATAATAAATTGTATATTTATATACTTATCCTATCTCACGCGATGGATACCCACCCGACATGCCCCACATCACAGATTACTGGAAGCTCCAAGACGAGAATGACAGGCACAGGTAGTCACGTGATCATCTGAGTGAGCTGCACCCTTACGGAGATGATTGACAGGTGCTGATGTCGGAGTGGGGGCAGAGGTCAGGGCGGGTCAGAGGCCAGTAAGATTTGATTCAACTTAGTCTACAGCACGTTTCCACACATGGTCGTAGAAGAAGAAGTGAGGTGCATACCGTGAGATAGGATAAGTATATAAATATACAATTTATTATAAAATTTACAACTCTATCCTGTGATAAAATACTCACTTTAATTATGCCATAAACAGTTGGCGCCATTAGATTACCTCTCCCCATAATCAAACATATCCTTGGTGACATTGTTTTATCACTCACAATTGCGCATACACATAAATATTAGCAATCAGTGAAATAGTTTGTTACAAATTACTGTATAAATGAATATTATTCTCTGTGAAAATATTTGACAAGACAGGGTTATCCCAAACGTATTCAAATCACTGTGTTGGTGTCAGTGCAGTCAGAAAGTTGTCCAAGATTGGCACAGGAATCAGCAATCCTTGAAAAGATTCCTAACAGATGTACTTGTGTTGCTTCACATAGGGTTCTAGATCATACTACAGTCCAAGAAATGCTTGCTGTTTGTCTTCCTCCACAATGTTCATCTCATGGAGACCCCATGTCGTGGCCCTTCATGTCAGATCGTATCAATATGGGTATTGTGTAATGCAACCAACTCGTAAAACTCTCCATTCCATGGTGTTCATAGCCTAACAAAAGTGATGGAAACAAATTTGCAACTTTTATGAAATAAAACACCCCAGCTCACAAAAACCAGTTACAGAAGTTCTGCTGTATTTATACATCTTGAATGTACTGAATTGCAACTAAAGTGAAGCCAAATGATATAACTGACTGACTGAGTTTAGTTTTACGCCGCTTTTAGCAATATTCCAGCAATATCACGGCGGGGGACACCAGAAATGGGCTTAACACATTGTGCCCATGTGGGGAATCGAACCCGGGTCTTCGGCGTGACAAGCCAACGCTTTAACCACTAGGCTACCCCACCGCCCCCCAAATGATATAAACTGATTTGAAAATATCAAATAACTACCCATTTTAGTGATGTTATATTATGTTTGGAAGTAACATGTACTTTGTCTCTAAACAAAAGGGGACAGGAAAGAAAATATAACAGCCTGTCAGTTAGTGGTGTTTGAGGATTTTCAAATTACAACACTGCACATTACAGAATAAAATCTCCAATAAAATTCTGTATCTCAGAAAAGTAATAAAGTTTTCTCTTCCCCCATGTGTATTGTAAAAAGGCAGAGTTGGTCTCTGAGATGTTATAGTTATACTACAAGAAGTCTTGAGTATGTATGCTTTATTACACTACACATGGAGGCAATCAATGGAAGGTGTCCCCTACACTTGATATATCCTAAACTTTGACAAGATACAGCCTGTCTGAAATGACCATGTACTTCTTGCTGTAGCTGATGAGGACAGTGATGAAACTGTGGGTTGGTGTAGTCGCCGCTTCACTGAGAGCAAGAAGTTGATGACAGTGGACTCGGTGAAGGGGACGCTGCTGTCAGTGGCAGAGAAGATGGTGTCCACTATATCCGAGGTCATTGTGGAGAATGCTGAAAATGACAAAGCAGGTACAGTGGTCACAGCGTGATTTACCTTGTGTAGCTTATGATGCTCTGATATGCAGTATTTAAGGCTAAGAACATTATGATAGTTACTGAAGAACAGGCAGTTCCTATAACATTGATATGGCTTATGTCGTGAACACTGTAAGTATTTTATCTTGTATAATCTGTGTTTGTCAACAGGCACATCACCGTTGTCTGCTGCTGAGTTAGAGCTTGTGGTTCTGTGTAAACTTGAGCAGGCAGCCATTGCTCGCCAGAAGCACCATGCACCTCTTGCAGCCCGGATTGTGCTTTCTGCTCTGAAGATGCTGCAGAACTCTGACCTCTTCAAGCCCAAGAAGGAGACACCTCCTCCACCAAGGTAAAACCATGATGTTGTCAGATAAAGTGATGATATCTCACAGACTCAGTGACATCAGTTATTCCACAATGTAATAGTATCATACTTCCATGAGTACCAACTTTATCTGACACCTTACAACAACTTGCTCAAGGTTGTCTGTAAGATATTTTGTTCAGTATATTCTATGCATACCTTGCATTATACAAAACAGGGAGTAGTCTTGTTTGGAAGTGATTTACCTTCTATTGCATAACGTTGTTTGTGCATATAAACATCTATTGCTTCATAATACACATGTAAGACTGCCTCACCAGGCAATGCTGTGGGTTGCAACTAATGTGTTTTGTGGATTGAAGTTGTGATTTATAATAAACTTTCAACATGAAATTATTGTTTCCATGGACTTTCCATCATCATCATTTTCAAGTCCAGAAATCTGTTCAGATTTTTGGATGATCCTTGGACTGTTTTGTAAAGTTTTAAACAATACTATGGTATGTGTACATGCATGCTTGTAGAACATTTTCTGATAGGAAATATTGCAAATAGAATCTACAGAGATAAAGAGTTAAGATGTTGATATTCAAACAATGATATACTGAAAATTCCAGAGAGTGGCAACGCAGGTAATTGTTTCTTGCAACATCACTGTTCCATCACTGGTTTGTCTTTCACTGTATCAGTTCTCTCACATCTTCGTTTTCCTCTCATTGTATCAGTTCTCTCACATCACTGGTTTGTCTCTCACTGTATCAGTTCTCTCTTGTCAGTGTTCCATCACTATTCCATCTCTCACTGTATCAGTTCTCTCACATCACTGTTTCATCACTGGTTTGTCTCACACTGTATCAGTTCTCTCACATCACTGTTTCATCACTGGTTTGTCTCTCACTGTATCAGTTCTCTCACATCACTGTTCCATCACTGGTTTGTCTCTTGCTGTATCAGTTCTCTCATGTCACTGTTCCATCTCTGGTTTGTCTCTTGCTGTATCAGTTCTCTCATGTCACTGTTCCATCACTGGTTTGTCTCTCACTGTATCAGTTCTCTTTGTCAGTGTTCCATCACTATTCAATCTCTTGCTGTATCAGTTCTCTCACATCACTGTTCCATCACTGGTTTGTCTCTCACTGTATCAGTTCTTTCATGTCACTGTTCCATCACTATTCCATCTCTCACTGTATCAGTTCTCTCTTGTCAGTGTTCCATCACTATTCAATCTCTTGCTGTATCAGTTCTCTCACATCACTGTTTCATCACTGGTTTGTCTCTCACTGTATCAGTTCTCTCACGTCACTGTTCCGTCACTATTCCATCTCTCACTGTATCAGTTCTCTCATGTCACTGTTCCATCACTGGTTTGTCTCTTGCTATATCAGTTCTTTCATGTCACTGTTCCATCACTATTCCATCTCTTGCTGTATCAGTTCTCTCACGTCACTGTTCCGTCACTATTCCATTTCTCACTGTATCAGTTCTCTCATGTCACTGTTCCATCACTGGTTTGTCTCTTGCTGTATCAGTTCTCTCATGTCACTGTTCCATCTCTGATTTGTCTCTTGCTGTATCAGTTCTCTCATGTCACTGTTCCATCACTGGTTTGTCTCTCACTGTATCAGTTCTCTTTGTCAGCGTTCCATCACTATTCCATCTCTTGCTGTATCAGTTCTCTCACATCACTGATCCATCACTGGTTTGTCTCTCACTGTATCAGTTCTTTCATGTCACTGTTCCATCACTATTCCATCTCTCACTGTATCAGTTCTCTCTTGTCAGTGTTCCATCACTATTCCATCTCTTGCTGTATCAGTTCTCTCACATCACTGTTCCATCTCTGGTTTGTGTCTGACTGTATCAGTTCTCTCTTGTCAGTGTTCCATCACTATTCAATCTCTTGCTGTATCAGTTCTCTCACATCACTGTTCAATCACTGGTTTGTCTCTCACTGTATCAGTTCTCTCACATCACTGTTTCATCACTATTCCATCTCTTGCTGTATCAGTTCTCTCATGTCACTGTTCCATCACTGGTTTGTCTCTCACTGTTAAAGTTCTCTCTTGTCAGTGTTCCATCACTATTGCATCTCTTGCTGTATCAGTTCTCTCCCATCACTGTTCTATCACTGGTTTGTCTCTCACTGTATCAGTTCTCTCTTGTCAGTGTTCCATCACTATTCCATCTCTTGCTGTATCAGTTCTCTCCCATCACTGTTCCATCACTGGTTTGTCTCTCACTGTATCAGTTCTTTCATGTCACTGTTCAATCACTATTCCATCTCTTGCTTTATCAGTTCTCTCACGTCACTGTTCCATCACTGGTTTGTCTCACACTGTATCAGTTCTCTCACATCACTGTTCCATCACTGGTTTGTGTCTCATTGTATCAGTTCTCTCACATCACTGTTCCATCACTGGTTTGTGTCTCACTGTATCAGTTTTCTCTTGTCAGTGTTCCATCACTATTCCATCTCTTGCTGTATCAGTTCTCTCACATCACTGTTCCATCACTGGTTTGTGTCTCACTGTATCAGTTCTCTCACGTCACTGTTCCATCACTGGTTTGTCTCACACTGTATCAGTTCTCTCACATCACTGTTCCATCACTGGTTTGTGTCTTTCTGCATCAGTTCTCTCACATCACTGTTCCATCACTGGTTTGTCTCTCACTGTATCAATTCTTTCGAATCATAGTTACACATCACTGTTCCATCACTGGTTTGTGTCTCATTGTATCAGTTCTCTCACATCACTGTTCCATCCCTTGCTGTATCAGTTCTCTCACATCACTGTTCCACCACTGGTTGTCTCTCACTGTATCAGTTCTCTCATATCATTGTTTGCCACTCATTGTATCAGTTCTCTCACATCACTGTTCCATCTCTCACTGTATCAGTTCTTTCATATCATTGTTTGCCACTCATTGTATCAGTTCTCTCACATCACTGTTCCATCACTAGTTTGTTTCTCACTGAATCAGTTCTGTGGTTTGTCTTTCATTGTAGAAGTTCTCTCACATCACTAGTTTGTCACTGGAACTTGTCTCAGTGTGCCACTTGTCTCTCATCATGGTCACATCAGTTATACTTCTCTCTCTTGGCTCATACACAGGGCACTTGGCAGCACATCTATATGTTCTCTTGCAATAACGTACAACTCAAATGAGAAAATAACCCTTCTGTTTTTCTGTCCTTGAATGCCTGCCAGAAATAGGTGCAGTTTCAGCAAACATTCCATAAGATACTCTGAAATAGAATGTTCAATGAGATGGTCACCTTCAAATAATATTTGCTAATCAGATACAGCCAGTTAATGGTCATGGGCTAATCTGTGTCGACATCAAAATATCATACATCAGCCTATTTAAGAAATATCTAAAGGATGAATTGTAATAATGCATTATGATTTTATTTAACATATCATGGAACTGAAAAAATACAAAGACTGCATCCATTCATTTGCCTAAAGAACTGGACATTTGTTATTTGTTTTGTTTCAAGGAAATATTAGATTTGTAGGATAGAAGCACTTCATGTATAACAGGAACAATGTCTCTTGCTGTTGAATATAGGAATACTCACTCTGCTGGCTGTGGCAGTGACGATTTGTGTTTTCTACTCCTCTCTCTCATATTGGTTCTGCATATGTCTAACCAGTAATTGTTTTGTATGGTCTGAATCTAACAGAGTGTATTAATGGAAATTAAGGTGTGGCACATACATTTCTGAATTATATTATGTGTAACTGTAGAGCAAAAACAGTGAAAAAATGTTCAAACTAACTACTTTCATTTTGCCATTTTCTTTTCATCGTGAAATTGTGTTTTTCTGCTGTATTTCCACCTGTGTGTGTCTGTGTTGCATGACATTGCATGGTGTCAAGCTTAGTGCTGTCATCACCTGTTTGGGGCTTGTGGGCATAATCAGTAGGTTTGATATGAGTTAGAAGTCCACCCAATACACATGTAAATACAAACATGGATCTAGCCCAGTATGTATACGCTACAATAGGTTTGTTGTAAAAATAAACTGAATAGGCAGATAAGTTGTTTATTGTTGAGACTTACTACCATAGTCCTGCAGGAGACGGTGGGGAAGTGGTAGAATGTCATGTCTATCACCCAAGACAAGGGGAAATATACAAATGTAACATTCTTTTAGTTATAATTATTTATACTTTCAGGATATGAAATGTGAAAGGCTAGGTTAGGAAGTGTTATTTTGATGTGGCAGTAATATTTTGTAGAATCACTGTTTGTCAAACAATGCATGGAAAGCGTGTATCTGGCATTTCCATCTGTACTTTGATTTCAAACAACATTCTGTTTTGTTATTTTATTTTCAATTCTCGATTATGCTTGCCTAGAAAACAAGACATATGGGGTTTAAAGAAAGAAGCCTGATCATGACTGACATGCTTGTAGGATGGATCAAGTTCTAAGATTTCATGATAATATATGGTCACTACTTAAACAAAATAGATATACCGGTATATATATATATGATTATTAATGAGTATTTTCACCTTTTGCCCTCAGGCCATCGTCCATGAAAGGTCGTCACAGTGGGTCTCGACGACCTCCTCAGATGGAAAATATTAAACTGACGGACTCTGATAACACCCAGTTCCAATATCAGAACTTCCAGAGTCGGTCTCGCCTGGACACCCGTCTGTGGCTGCACTGTCGCTTAGCACTCGTCTCCAGCCTCATCATGGAGGTCCGAGGAATGGGAGACGTTAAAGGTGATCAGTTGTTGTACATGTCTTGAAATTGTCATCTTTTGTGTGACTTAACCACCATGCAAAATGGCTTATCCCCAAATAACATATTCACTGTAGAGAAGAACACCCTCTGGCCTCATTTACTGGGAACAGATTAATGAAAATGTAACCAGTTTTTTCTACTTATTGCAGGTAAATTGATAATAGTCATGAAACTATGAGAATATTTGGTATTATGCACAAAACTGGAAAATTTGTTATAACTTGAATATGATTGGAAGACTTATTTTGGTGACTGCTGATTACTTGATATTTTGCTAGTTATATCTAGATGTCACACAAACTGTTTCTAAGAGAGATCTAAGATGTACATGTGTCTGCAGGGAGTGAGAACAAGGTGCTCACTGATGTTGCTGAGTGTCGGCAGTACTGTGCAGAGGGGCTGTCGGAGGCGGAGGCTTGTGGGGATGTGGAGATGCAGGCGGAGTTCCTGGCCCAGGGGGCACAACTAAACATCATTGAGGGAAACAGTCTGGAACACACTGTACTGCTGATGGAGGTAAGCGTTACTTGACCATAACTCACCAAACGTTTGGTGCTGATCTAGATCAGCCATGTATCATACCTGCTATACGTTATCATGAACACTCTGGGAACAAGTAGATCTGGACCAGATGGGTATTGAGTGTTTTCAAACTTCATGTGTACTTGACTTTTACTTATAGGATGCCATCAAGCTGCTGAGTGGAATGCCACGTTTGTCAAACCATGGTGAGCGTCTGCTTGTGCTGTGCCTGATGATGAAGACAGACTTGGAGGCAGCCTGCAGGAAGGATGTGGACTCGGATGCTATGACACAGAAAACACTCAACAGCTACCTGGATGTGCAGAGACTTGTTCTGTCTCAGGTAACTCACTCTTCATCAGCAGCAATATGTCCTACTTGTGTCACAGTCATATTGACGGCAGACTCCCTTTTCATACTCCCAACTTGTGTCAGAAACCTTGCTGGATTGTCTTGCATGTAATGGAACAGTTAGGGGCAAGACTTTCAGCTGCATTAGCCATGCCTTGCTGGGAGATAGGTTGTGATGACAGTGTATAAGGATTCTTATTGACTAGGATGACAGTTTATGTTTCTTGTACATGTTTGTCTTGTTGTGCCTTGCAGATGGAGCAGCTTGGGGAGAGGATTGAGCACTACCATCCTGTGGGTCAGCAGGACCACCTGTCCACCCTGGTCAGTCCCATGGACAATATCTACCTCCCAAACTGTCTCCGCCTTGCACAGGTCAAACTCAGAATTGGACATGCCATGGCCAGGAATACTGCCAAGAAGATACGGAATGGGTATGCAATGATATACATGTTATCTGCCTGAATAGTTTAGTTGTAACTGTGTTAGCAATGATTGCATATAGGACTTTGTGGGTTTATTTCCTGAACAAGACCAAACAGACCATGTCTGCATATGACCATTATTTGTAATTACTGATGATACTTGCTATAGGTTATACAAGAACTATGTCGGATACAAACATTCCATATGATTTCATTCATTTTCTTGTTCAGTGTTTGGTTAAATGTTTGAAATAAACAATGTTATGTTTCTGTGTATGTGGAAGATTGTTGACTGAAAATGTATTCCATGGCTTTGTGTTTTAGTGTTGTAGATGTAGAGCACCATCAGCTGTGGGCAGATGCTCTTGGCGTGCTGTCAACAGCACTCGAGATCTCACAAGTCAGTGTCACACGGGAGGCAAACCTGGAAGCAGAAATTCTCTTTAATATGGGTGAGAAATGGTTCACATCTATTGGAGACAGTAACCAAGTTTTCACTTTAATATAGTGTACACTGTGACATGTCCTGAATGTGTCATCTGTGTAATAAGGGCAAACCCCATTGTTATTGATTCCATGAGTGTGTCAAATTACAGTCCTGTCTATGAGTTACTATATTTAACATTCTTTAACCCTGATGTGTAGACTTCCTGTTTGTTTTGAACTCAATTTGAATGTGGAATGCCGTAACCACGATATTCTAGTGGGAGGGGGGAATATCAAAGATAGGAATCAAACTGAAACAGGTGGAAACATGGCTTAGCAATCCAGTAACGGCTTGCTCTGTGTTATTGGTAGTGGTTCAACTATAACTGCAATTTCCATTCCCAGGTATTCAAGGTGGACTCTAATTTATATAATCATGATTGAACGAGAGTTTTAGAAAATCAAATATTGCGTTTTGTTGTATTGTGCTGAACTTTTGATTTTCACCACCAATAAACAGGATTTAGAACAACACTCTGTACATTTTAGGAAAGGTTGACATAAATAGTTTTCAATATTTTCCTGAACATAAGGATATAAACATGATGATAGAGGATGAATAAACCTTTCATCTGCAGGCAAAGTACAGAAGATGTTGGCTCAACTGGGCAAGTTCCAGCCCCGAGCTGCTGCCAACACCCTCATCGAGGCCATCAAGACATCATTTGCAACAGATCATGATCTTGGGTATGTACCCAACTTGGAGATAAGGCACTTACAGCTATATATTTTAACATGAGTGAGAGCATGCAAGTTATTGGTTGTGTGTGAGAGGGCATGGATGGGTAGATGGGTGGAAGTGGGTGTGGGTGTTTGTGTGTGAGTGGGCATGGATGGGTGGAAGTGGGTGTTGGTGTTTGTGTGTGAGAGGGCATGGATGGGTAGATGGGTGGGAGTGGGTGTTTGTGTATGAGAGGGCATGGGTGGGAGTGGGTGTTTGTGCGTGAGAGGGCATGGATGGGTGGAAGTGGGTGTTTGTGTGTGAGATGGCATAGATGGGTAGATGGGTAGGAGTGGGTGTTTGTGTGCGATCGGGCATGGATGGATAGATGGGTGGGTGTTGGTGTTTGTGGGTGTGAGAGAGTATGGATGGGTGGGAGTGGGTGTGGGTGTTTGTGTGTGAGATGGCATGGATGGGTAGATGGGTGGGAGTGGGTGTTTGTGTGTGAGATGGCATGGATGGGTAGATGGGTGGGTGTGGGTGTTTGTGTGTGAGATGGCATGGATGGGTAGATGGGTGGGTGTGGGTGTTTGTGTGTGAGATGGCATGGATGGGTAGATGGGTGGGAGTGGGTGTGGGTGTTTGTGTGTGAGATGGCATGGATGGGTAGATGGGTGGGAAGCGGAGGATGTGGGTGTTTGTGTGTGAGATAGGCATGGATGGGTAGATGAGGTGGATGTGGGTGTTTGTGTGTGAGATGGCATGGATGGGTAGATGGGTGGGTGTGGGTGTTTGTGTGTGAGATAGCATGGATGGGTAGATGGGTGGAGTGTGGGTGTTTGTGTGTGTGAGATGGGTATGGATGGGTAGATGGGTGGGAGTGGGTGTGGGTGTTTGTGTGTGAGATGGCATGGCAGATGGCATGGATGGGTAGATGGGTGGGAAGCGGATGTGGGTGTTTGTGTGTGAGATGGGTAGATGGGTGGGATGGGTGTAAGGAGATAGCATGTTTGTGTGTGATGGATGGGTAGATGGGATGTAGATGGAGTGGGTGGGAGTGGGTGTTTGTGTGTGAGATATGGATGGATGGGTAGATGGGTGGGAAGTGTGGTGTGTTTGTGTGTGTGAGATGGCATGGATATGGGTAGATGGGTGGGAGGCCGGATGTGGGTGTTTGTGTGTGAGATGGCATGGATGGGTAGATGAGTTGATGTGGGTGTTTGTGTGTGAGATAGCATGGATGGGTAGATGGGTGGGAAGTGGATGTGGGTGTTTGTGTGTGAGATGGCATGGATGGGTAGATGGGTGGGAGCCGGATGTGGGTGTTTGTGTGTGAGATGGCATGGATAGGTAGATGGGTGGGAAGGTGGATGTGGGTGTTTGTGTGTGAGATAGCATGGATGGGTAGATGGGTGGGAAGCGGATGTGGGTGTTTGTGTGTGAGATAGCATGGATGGGTAGATGGGTGGGAGCGGATGTGGGTGTTTGTGTGTGAGATGGCATGGATAGGTAGATGGGTAGGAAGCGGATGTGGGTGTTTGTGTGTGAGGATGGCATGGATGGGTAGATGGGTAGGAGTGGGTGTTTGTGTGTGAGATGGCATGGATGGGTAGATGGGTGGGAAGCGGATGTGGGTGTTTGTGTGTGAGATATAGCATGGATGGGTAGATGGGTAGGAAGCGGATGTGGGTGTTTGTGTGTGAGATAGCATGGATAGGTAGATGGGTGGGAAGTGGATGTGGAGTGTTTGTGTGTGAGATAGCATGGATGGGTAGATGGGTGGGAGTGGGTGTTTGTGTGTGAGATGGCATGGATGGGTAGATGGGTGGGAGTGGATGTGGGTGTTTGTGTGTGAGATGGCATGGATGGGTAGATGGGTGGGAGCGGATGTGGGTGTTTGTGTGTGAGATGGCATGGATGGGTAGATGGGTGGGAGCGGATGTGGGTGTTTGTGTGTGAGATGGCATGGATGGGTAGATGGGTGGGAGCGGATGTGGGTGTTTGTGTGTGAGATGGCATGGATGGGTAGATGGGTGGGAGCGGATGTGGGTGTTTGTGTGTGAGATGGCATGGATGGGTAGATGGGTGGGAGTGGGTGTGGGTGTGTGAGATGGCATGGATGGGTGGGAGTTTGTTTGAGATGAAAGAATTGTACAGGGACACACAAAATGCTTTCTCAGAATGTTCAGTGATCAGTGCTAGTTCTTCAACTCCATGAAGAGAAACAAGGATGGATGGAACCAGTGGCACTACATAACTCCTGTGTGTTTCAGGCTGATCCGACAGAGCTACCTGGAGATTGCCCTCATCTACATGTGCAGCAGTGGTGTGGTGTTGGCCAGGAAGGGGTCATTCCTTGAGCTAGCGGTGGGGGACAGTGGTGATGAAGGCAAGCCAACCTCATCCCACTCTCAGGTTCAGAAGAAGAAGTTGAAGGTATGCATGTCTGGCTGACATGAAACAAGCAGCAATAATATCACTAACTAGAATTTAGCATTGTGTTTTTTGTCTACAAATGAATATTGAGGTTTGTATTTGTAGATTCTCTAAGTGCCATTTTAGCTGTTTGCTGTATAAAGGAAAACCGTAAAGAGCAGCACTGCCTGTCTCTCTCACAATAGATGTACTTCATTGACGATAACAATGTTAGAGGAAATGTGTCTGGCAGATGAAGTAGAATACAGTCTTGATATATTGTATACTTTAATTATTATATTTTACTGTCAAATTACTGCTTGAGTGAAGCACAGCACAGAAAAAACATTAGTCTTTCAAATGAAAGCACCAGATGAACACATTTGTAGATTACTGAAACATGCAAAAACACATGAGAACAACACACCTTCTTTGTGACTGACATGTGGTTTCACATATTATACTTATAATATGTTTTATATTATACTATAATATGTATAAGTTATATGAGCAGGCATTTTGAGAGTCTGTTCACCTTCAAAATGAGGGAAAATGACGAGTATTCTCTTTACTGAGCAGAGCAAGAAGGAACGTAGCAAATCCCGAAACAAAGAGGATGATGCTGGTATACCAGAACACGAGAGAGAGAAGCGTGCTGCCTGGCTTGCCATCAGATGTGCAGCAGCAACAGCTGCAGCCCAGCGAGCCCGTACGCTGTTGATAGGAGATAACAGCGTCACCTCCCAGAAGCTGGGAGACAAGGAAGTGAAGAATGTGCCAGAGTTTGCTGCCCTTGATCTCATTAGCGGCTATGTACTGGGAGAGAAAAAGAAAATCTTCAAGAGTGAGTTTCTTCCTTTTTGAAAAATGTATTCAGTTGCAGTTAATGTCTTCTTTCTGTGACGTTTTAAAGTTTTTGATTGAGGATTATTATCAGGACTTCTTTGTTCCAGGTGAGATAGAAGAAGAGTTATCCTCCCTTATGGATGCCCAGGAGGTGAAGCAGGTTGACACGTATGACGACCAGGTGAACAAAGCCAGAACTGGCGCCAAGGATCTCAGCTGGATACACTTCCTAGGTAGGATTATCCCTTCATTTTCATATAATTACAATAAACCTTTTTAATAGTAGTGCATTATACATGTCACATTGCCATTCCTTGAGACTTCTTAATCAAGCACAAATTCCTTTGTCATCACTCAAATTTTATGATGTATGTTATTATTCCCTGGCATGAAGTGGGAGGATGGCAGAGGAATGGGTGCTCTCTATTTGCCTTTCTGTGCGTGTGTCATTTTTCATTTTAAGAGAATTACTCGGAAACCATTTTGAATTTTATGTAAGAAACTTTGTATACCTGTATGTACTGGACCTTTTAATGTTTTGGTAGTTCTAACAATTAACAATTTCCTCAACAAAAAAGTGGACCTAAGACTCAAATACATGTAGCATTCATTTTTTGAGCATGACTCAGAAACAGTCTAAAAACTTTGCCTATTTATAAAACACATGCTTAGCTGGTGCCATCAATGTTTTAGAATTTCTGAAAAAAGTAGGGCTTTTTGGGTGTTGTCTTGTTTAATATGTGCTCTGTGGCTGCAGTGGGACAAGTTTTCTCAGAAACTACCTGAGTTAAATCAAAGAAATCAGTACCCCTCCATTGAACAATAATTGTAATGTGCCAAATATCAGTGAATTGTCACAATGATATTTTCTTGTACTACCTGTTGTTGATAACTGTAGTTTCATATAAAAATCTACATGTACATGGCTACATCTACACCTGTATTTGATACAGCCAACAAACAGTCCCATTTCAGTGATTATTGGTGAGATGTTCACATGTTCAACCACAATATTTTTACCAATATTTTGATGTCTGAACTTGTTTTGAACTATTTTCACAGGCTATCAGACTGTCCTTCAGCGCCTGTGTAGTACTGCTACAATCTGTGCGACAAGCTCACAAACAGACTCAGTGAATGTAAATGGAGGTGACCTTGGACCAGACTTTGACCTTGGATTTATCAGCCATGCTCAATTTGACACAACAATGAACCATGATGTTGTTCGGTCCATGTTGTTTTCTGGTCCATGGTCGTGCCGGTTACGTCACATGCATGGTTACCTGACTTCTCACCTACCGGTGTATGCCAGTGACTGCTGTGCCATCTACCCTCCTTCCCCCCTTCTGCTCCCAGTCACCTCTGCCAGCACTGATCTCAGTATCACCATGAAGACGTACACTTCTAACCTCAGCCTGGGCAGCAGCGTTGAGATGGAGAATATTTACAACAGCAGCCTTGACCTTGATCCACGACCTCTTCCTCCAGGAACACAGACAAATCCTCACAAACCTGCTGATGAGGCCATTGTGAATCCTGGAGACAATGAACTGGTTCTACAGTGGCATCAACCCACCCTTGATGAAAGTGACCCAGCACATACAGAGATGGGTTCCTTGGACAGGAGGATTATTCTGCTGTATGCTCTCTCAAGGAAGGGGAGTTCGGGGAGTCCAGGCGTGGCACCAGGATTCCTGTGGGTGTCACAACCTCAGCTCATTGATCTCCATGACAGGTACAGGTTATTCCAAGTTGACAGGATTTGGATTCTCTCTATATATATATCAAACCTATGCACACTGGATAATCTATTTCCCATTGATTAAGTTCATGTTGTGAGAAAGGACAGATAGTGGATGGATGGGTAACCATGCCCACCTTCCAGGACTCCTGATAGTGTCTAGTTCTATGGTCATGTGAACTTTTTGTGATTTTGGCAATGTGCCTCTGGTCATCCAGCATTGATTAGGTACCAATTAAAGGCAGATGGTAATATGGTGTCTGCACAGGACGTCGCCCTTTTGGTGAAATGTCATGGTTCAGGTAAGAAAAAAGGTCGACGTCCTGTCCATTTGACCTTATACCAATTAACAGGGGATTAAAAAAGACAGACATAATCCAGTGTTTACACAAGGTGATGATCTGGATTAAGTGGTTGAAAGCACGACAACAGGAGAAAAGTACTATATTTCGTCCATTTTATTTCATACAAGATCATCCCGAAGGAGGTGAGATGCAGCATCTGCAAAATCTCTGGTGTAGATTTGTCCACTCCTCAGATCATGCCTAAGGACGTCCAGGCGATGTTCCAAGTCCCTGTATTTCTTTTTCTTCAATTGATGTTTTTGTCCACCTCCGAACTGTAACAGGCAGACTTCAGTGCTAGTCTGCCATTTCGAAAATGAATGTAATCTACCTCGAGTTCTTTCCTTATACATATCCAAATTGAATGAAATGTGTTCATCATTGTAAAAATCACTCTCATATGATAACATTGATGACATTGGTGACATATTGTGTGAACTACGTTCATACCTTACGCTATGCCCACGTTATCGACAATCCTAAAACAACATCTACTGGCGGATTAGCGTGACTCTAACAACACCTTCAACATCAAAGTTAGCCGCAAGTCGACTTCGTGTCCATAGGAAAATTTCAAAAGGTTGAATTCGTGTCCATAAACCGGTAATATGAGTGCAAACGTCTATCACCTGTCAGGCTTGTTTCAATCTCCCAAAGGAGATGAGAATGCAGTTTGAAAGCACATTGATCTATTGATGAGTCTTGTGATTTATGGTTCGCTTGTTATTTGGTGGTTGTTACAAACACAACCATTACACACATTTGCTCTTTGACTCCTGTAGGTTGGCAGTGCTGACCCAGAGAGGGGAGATATCTCTAACAGAGAAGGAGAAGACCAAGAAGGATAAGGATGTGACCCCAGCTACCCCAACACCAGTCAAACCCAAGAAAGCACAGAGGATCAAGGCTCTCTCCCCCAAACCACAGCGAGACGAGCAGCTGGAGGTTAGTCAGGAAAGCCCAGGGGAATCCTGTAGTTGACGACAGCATAATAACTGGAGGCGTAGTTTTATTAGATGTATAAAGCAAATCTGTTTAGGTTTTGCATGTATACTGTAACATTTACCAATGTTAAATTTAGAATTTTAAGTAAATTGCATGATTCTTATCTAAATTTACAGGTCTTTTTCTGAAAATATATTATGTCATGTTCAGCTGGTATTTTAGAATATTTTCTAAATGGAATGTATGCGTGAAAATTGTTTCACATGACTCTCAGCAAGATTTCAGGTATAAATTACAACTTTGGGGCAAAGAAACACCCAGCGATTGATAGCTCGTGAAACAATATTTGGCTTCCATGACACATCCATGTTTCAGTTGTGTACATGGTGAGTGGGAATACATGTGTAGTATTCTTTGAGCATGGAGATAATCATCTTATTAAAGTTTTCATAGACCACTCCTTTCCACTGTACAAATGTTTTATTATGTATATATGTTTGCCTGATATATTTTCATGTCTATCCAGGGACTCCTGAGGCAGTGCCTGGATGACTGTACTCTCCTACTGGCGTCTTCCCCGGAACAGGACGCAGTCACTGAGGTGAGACACATACTATCAGGCTGAATACTCCGGGGTAATAATTCCTGTAATTAATCAAGGCCAGTACCACTTTGAATGCTGAATACTGGTACTGTAATGCTTATAAACAATATTTATGTCATTTGCAGATTCCATTTGATGTTAACCGATCAAGCATCAAGAACCTGGAGCAACTGTTTGACCAGAGTTTTGGGCTGCTGCTACGAGGCACTGATGTTGCAACATGGATCATGAAGATGTTATCCTGACCACTTGCTTTCTGTACATGATGTTTTTTTTATAAAGTTGTTCCTAATTTATATATTTATGATAAAGCCAAAATCCAGTTTGCTTGAGAGAGATGTGCCAGTGTAAATATTCACATCCTCTGTGTTACTTTTGTAATACTGTTTATGATGTTTAAGGTGTTGTTAGCATTTACCAAAGTTTGAATAATGATTTTGTTTAGACTTATACCACTGCTTTTGTGTGTTGACTTCTGTGCAGAGTTGCATCCATTAGTTATGGCAGGATCTGGTGTTTCTTGTTACAAATCCCAGATTCACCTGTTATAATTCATGTCAGAACCATACCTATTCTTGTGAACATCTATGATCTGTATCACTTCAGCTTTTCCTCTTCAAGCACCCCTTGATATACTAAAAGTTTCCTGTTTGCCTGGATTATGATTAATGTTAACTTAACTTACATTGATGGGGACGGTGGGGTAGCCTAATGGTTAAAGTGTTCGCTCATCACGCTGAAGACCCGGGTTCGATTCCTCACATGGGTACAATGTGTAAAGCCCATTTTTGGTGTTCCCCCACCGTGATATTGCTGGAATATTGCTGAAAGCAGCGTTAAAACTAAACTCACTCACTTACATGGAGAAAGTTCCTCTTGTAATGACTGCGTGTCTAGACCAAGTCAGAAACTGGGAGCCAGTCTTATGAGCAAAGTCTTCTTTTAAAGGGGACATGTACACAATTAGTTGATATCAGTGTATTAATTTTACTCTCTTTTGCTCACATTATAAATAAAAAGCTCAATATAAATGCTTATAGTCCGTTTGGCTCAAAATCGGACCGATGAATTGCAATCTAACTCGAAAACAACTAAACATAGAATACTCAATGAAACACTGATCATAATCAAAACATCAGAGCAAACTCCGTGATTTTTTTGCAGAATTTATGTCCTAAAAGTAAAAAAGGTTGTTTAACAAACTATCATTAAAACTTTGACACAGTTCACTATTTGTTACGAAGGAGGACTGCAAATGGAGGAACAGCCAGGTAGGTGTACGAGGAGAGCACGTGCACAAGTGCCGACAAAGTCATTGATTCATTAACCTGTGCTGTGCCGTCTCCATCCTTTCTTGCACACCTGGCTGTTCCTCCCTTTGCACACCTCCCTTGTAACAAATAGTGAACTGTGTCAAGATTTTAATGATAGTTTGTTAAACAACTTTCTTATTTTTAGGACATAAATTCTAGAAAAAAATCACAGAGTTGGTCTGATGTTTTGATTATGATCAGTGCTTCATTGAGTACTATATGTTTCGTAGTTTTCGAGTTAGATTGCAATTCATCGGTCCGATTTTGAGCCAAACGGACAATAAGTGTTTAGACATTATGATGATGGATTATGATGGTGCCTATTTAGACTGGTCTCCTTTCAAGTCCCAGCACAAAAGCTATCCCTTGCGAAATTTATTGTGTAAAAATATGGAAAAGATATGCATAACTTGCATTATAATTGAAAGCAGCAGGAGAGATTGAATATGCATCCTTTCATTTATAACCCTTCACCTCAAGGAAAATACCAAATGTGAAGAACAATGTTGACATGACAAGGAAACCATTCATTGCAAGCTGAAACAGCAAATCTATAGAGAAAGGGGCTGCTGTGTGACATGTAAATTCTAAAGTGGAACACTTTTTATGGATAGAAAACTTCTTTGTTGCAGTAGTAGTTGCGACGTTTCGGTGTAGACTACTACTGCAACAAAGAAGTTGTCTGTCCATAAAAAGTGTTCCACTTCATCATACCAGCTTCTAAATGCCACTAAGGAAATGTAAATTCTACTACTGACATCACATTCCCTGAGGCATCACTTGGAACTATATCTGAATATCTGCAGGTAAAATCAGTTGAAATAGGTAACCTAGTCATCATAAACTACTGACTGCTAAATAAGATAAAATGCAGTTTAACTTATGCAACCTCTTCTCATCAAACCAATACATGCGACATTTCACATTGACAAAATCTAGGACAACCCAATTCTGTGCCCCTTTGACCATTTCCCATCTTGCACCTCTACTGACCCAGCTGTAAACCAACCAAACAGTGTCATTGTAAACTTGAAATGTTATCATTGGAAGAAAAATAATGAAAACAATATGCTTGTTAACAATTTTATTTTGTTTACCATGTTGTGATAACAATGTAAATAACAAAATAAATAAATTGCAATAAAGTTTGACACTATGATCACAGTTTTGTGTACTGGTTGTTGGTAAGCAACAGATGAAACGTGGCCAGTAATATATACAGGGAATCCTCACAACATACACATACAGCATGTACAGGATGAACAGACTCCAATACATTTTCATTGGCCTCACCTGGAGGATATAACAGTCTCTGTAGTAAAGAGTCAGCTCAATACATCAATGACCATGTATATACTGTATCTACCAAACAAATCTTCAACAACGTTGTATGAATGTCAACTATCAACATCATGACCATATTAATAACAACATCAGTCACTGGAGGTAAGTGCCATTTCAAAAACCAACTCCACTGTATAAAATAAGTCATAAAAACATATGTCACATGCTATTTGGACACACAGTCTGCATCCAAACTTTCTCTTTGCATGCAATGCAATAGGTGCTGAATTTTGCCGTCATGTTGAAACCTGAATCTCTTTTCCACAGATAACAGCCAACAGGATCAGTAGTATAATACTGTATTCTGGGATTTGTGTTGTCATATTGATGAGTCACTGTATGACAATCCTGGGTTGATGGAAGATGAACTGAAAGCCCATTGAGACATGGCAGTTGAAAACACATCGCTGGTTGTTTGTCCGTCAGTTCGAATTCATCGAAAACATTCAGTTTCAAATATAACACTCAAGTCTTCTTCAACACAGGGTAGATCACCCCACAGAAGTAACTCTTCACCTACAAGTAGAAGAATATCTTGGTTAATACAGATTAACACAGTATAGAGGGATCAACAGTCACGGCAGGTCATTCTCTATCATCTTCCTGGTATCACTCAAACAGGAAGTGTGAAGAGGAATGATTGCACCAGCAAGAGCCAACAATGTATGATGAGATGAATTGTTTTTGTCATGTTACAAACTGAAAGCAAGCCATCAAGGATGTTTTTGGTAGTTATTTTTAAAGTTAAGATATAAAGTCCTCAATTGAAAATGTATCAAATCCTTAGGAAATCTGACAAATAAAAAGTAAGTTTGATACTTTGCTTTGACAGTACTTGATCTATATGACCGAAACTTGTAGATATCTAGGCAAGACAAACCAATGGTTGACATAGGGAGCAACTTCCATGACATATGTGGATGATGGATTGCAGTGAAAGTAGTAGGGGGAATAGCGGTACGGGATCAAGTCCAACAAAAGCCTCTGCAAAGCCTTATTTCACAAATAAAGCTTTTGTTAGGCCATTAGATCTCGCACCAGTATATCTACTACTTTTGAGCCCCCGGTTAACTTCCCGCCCACACGTTGTACTGTGCCACTATGCCACGCTGTTTTGTTAACTACGGCACTATGCCACGTTGGCAGGAGGTAACATTGTACCGTACGGTACGATCAATAATTCCTCTCTAGCGAACCCTCTACCTGGCCCATCTCTCAAGTAGTACAAGTTCGGCTCGTCTGCTTTGATGCCCACTTTATCTATGTTGTAAGTTTTGACTGACCATATCGGATCGGTGGCTCGCTTACGGCTATCAACCTCGTGTTCCCCCGGCTGGTATAGGTACCTCACTAGGGCCCTATCTGGTATCTGTTTCTCCTTCCCACGCAGTGGGGCAGCCGACTCTGCTACTATTGATTTTAGTTTGATAGCGTCGGCTGGTTTCTTGCCGGTGAGCCGGGTGATTTCATGGTTTATGGCCGATACCACCTGAGGCAGCCGCGCTACCCATTCAGTCGATCGTTTTCCCAGGTTGGCCATCTCTCTCGCATACTGATGCCCGAATAAGCGCTCAGCCAAAGTCCTATTGAATCTCTCAACTATGGCTTGGCTGCGATGGGCTCTGGCCGTGCTACGCCTGACCTTGGTATCGTGTTTATCCAGCAGGTGTGACACGGCACTCATGAACTCCCGCCCGGGGTCAACTTGCAGCTCTGTTGGCCACGTCAGCGGACTGCGCTTGTATATGCGTTCGAATCCTCGGGCTACCTGGGCCGAGTCTTTCGTGGTCAAGGGTTCGGCTTCCTTGTAGCGACTGGCCACGTCCATGACAGTTAAGGCATACTTGTACCTCTTATCGTGGGGTAGGAACAGGAGGTCGGCCTGGTGAACGCTATTGGGTATGTTAATACCAAACTTCCTTCAAGGCACGTAGCGTGGTGCCGGTAAATAGATCTGCCACAGGGCTTGTTTTTCAAGCCACGCTTTGGACTCCTCCGGGGGTACTCGCGCCATTTTAGCTAGCTTATGTACGGCGCTAACTCCTTTCCAGTACCCACGCGGGCTGTAGTAAATAGCCTCAAACTTTCTCTGGTTCCGTGACATGTCACCCCGACAGGGTATGGTAATTACATATACACCTATGTTCTTGGTTCAATTTTCTCATGCCCGTACGCGTACGTGTTTATCCGATCAATAGCTATCCAACGTTTAGTGTCCATCGGCGACAGGGGCGTCTTGTTTATAGTCAGTCCGTATATCCTATGCCCATCACTTCTAAGCGTGTTCATTTTATGCCTGAAGGTACGGGTCTTGAACAGGGCTTCCTTTGAATCTGGCGTGTTTGATGTGTTGTTTCACCACGTACTTCTTAACACCCTTCGCCTTCCGGATCTCACCATTGTCGGCCTTCAGGATGGAGTACATCTTAAGCCTCAAACCTATGTACTCGGCTATGGGCGTGCCAGCACACTCGTCCTTCATCTTACCTAGGACCTTTTTATTTACCGTGCTGTGTATGGCATGGTCCTTGGGTAGTCACTGGTGTCGTACAAATCAAGGCGTTTTTTTAAGTCCTCGTACACGTCCTCGGTTGGAATCTCCAACAGCAGGGAATCCGTGTCAGTGTACAGCACTTCACACCTGTCGCCTTACTGTTTCTTCAGTTCGTTGTAGTAAAAGTCGTACATCAGGTGTTTGGATAAATCGAGGATGCTCATCCCCACGTAAACAGGACGATTGAATTTGATGTGGCTTTTATTCATGTGTAGGGCAACCAGGTCGTCGGTGAATATTTTGCTACGGTTGAATGCCGGACTGGCTATCAGTCTCCTGAGCTTGTCTTCCTCATTCGACCGAACCAGCTTCACAGTCACGCGTTTCCTCAGGTTCTCTATAGTCTTACCAAACACCGAGTTGTTCATGAGCTTGTAGAGATTTTTCTCAAAGTCACTGGTGGCAAGCTTCGGAGGTCTGTATTCATTCTGATGTATGGCTCCATCCAGGGGCTCTGGTTGAACACGAGCACCCTGTGTATTTTGGTCAGCCTCATACCCAACGACAGGTACAGCTGTAGGTTGCGATAGTGAACGATGTACTTGGTCTTATTCATTAAGTTGGGCACGAGTTTTTCAACGTCTGCCACCTGCCCACCTAACAAGTTATGTTGGTACTCAGACATCCAGTCTGGGTTAACCCTCATACGTTCGGGAGCTAGGGGGTAGCTGTTGTGTGATGTGTGTAATTCCTTGGGGTATTCTAAGTCCACCTCGAGGATATAACCTTTGTTCGAATCTGGTGCGATGCTCATAACATCGACCTGCGTCGCGATGCCCATTCGAATCCCCTGTGGGGTAGATACTGGCTCATGGCCCAGCCGTTACAGGTTGTTAGCGTCGAGGTAGAGAATATGATTGGTTGGCTTGCTCGGGTTGTAGCCTTTCACATTATTGATTATTTGCTTTTCGGCGTATCGTTTGGTTGCCATGGAAATCCCACCTGCAAGCCTTTCTCAATGAATAGGTGCAGATGTAATCGGTGAGCAATTCCAACTTAACTCCGGTCTTTTCAACAATGCATCCCACGACAGACCTGGGCTGGTGTAGTACCATCTTGGGGTCGAGTTGATACTGCTTAAAACACGTCCGCCTAAACGTCTCAAACACGTCGGCTAACAGCAGTACATCTGTCCTCAAGTACAGGTCGTGATAGTCTCCCAGATTCTTACAGCCCAGTTTATTCCATACGTTAATAGCATGCGAGTAATCGTCTCGGGTGATTGCCGAGTCGGTCAGGTTGCTGTAAAATTCTCTGATGGGGGGTAGTCGAGTCTCGGCGAACTTGGCCCAACCATCCATGTACTCGTAGGGGTACACGCCCTTCCTCATCAGCAGGGGTCGAGTCTCGGCGTCGGTATATCTATCAGTGATCAGGAAGGTATCGTTGGCCTTGACCAGACTGTCGAGTGATGACAGGAGGAACTGAACCGAGTCGATGAACCTCAGACCATTCAAGCTGAAAGAGATGTATCTCTCCATGTTGTTGGGGATGCACGTCAGGTTGCCGTCGATTTTCGCGATGGCCTGCATGATTAAATGAGAATCGTACCCTCTCAAGTTGTGGAAGACCACGGGTATGTTTATTGTCTTGGGGGTGATTCTAAGCTTGAGGTTGCATGCCTTGTGAGCGGCGCCTCTATACTTACCAGTGACGTGGCAGTGATCTCTCACCAAATCACCATTCAGTGGTGAATCACACACGTGGCATTGAGTGCTGCAGCCGTGAGCTAGCCTGTCGGCTTGGGTCATACGCATGGGAGCGACTGTATACAGTGCATTCCTAATACTTTTCTCTTCCTCCTGCAAACACTTTAGAAACTTTTCAGCCGCGTCGGGACCCCTATACACTACAGGAGCTTACGTTTCCCCATCACATCGGACGACCACGTATCCAAACCCACAGGCCTCATGCTCCTGTGTTTTGTGTGTGAAGCTCTCGCCTGTGGGTAGAGCATTGGGGATACCCCCAACAGCCTCAACGGGTTTGACCAAGGCTTCAAAGTCGGCGTAGATGATATAAGGCACAGACATTTGGTTCTTGTGGTTGCCGAATTTTAGGATATTGTCACCTTCCTTGGGCATGTCAGCTCGTATGGCCTTCTGCCCCACACCTTGGCAATCCTCCCGGTGGGATTCTAATAAATCAGCTCGTGTGAAGCCATGTAGGCATCGTTATGCAAAAGTGTTTTTTCCCCATCGTTATTTCGACTGGTCGCAACAGCAGCCTACTGAGATGTTTTATCCACGTGTAGTGATACTTTTCACCTTGCTGGATCATGAATATATTGACCACGCCGGCGACCCAACAGTTGGGGTTTCCCCAATGGACTGACCCTGTGTACTATTGTTGTGTTGCCTTCGTGCCCTAAAGACGCGTTATAAGCTAGATTATTCTGTTTTTCTATTTTAGTGATCTGAGATATGGGGGTGGGTTTATCCATACCATCCCAGTTGAGCCCATCGTCTTGGGGATAGCTAGAAAGCCTGTTCGAATTAGTGTCAGCTGGAAACAAGGCTGACCTGATAGCTACCATCAGGCAATCGTCTCCTCTATTCTTGGCGTTGACCATGGCCTGTTTTTCTTATAGTAGGGGGCAAGTCTAGGTATGACCCACCTCTGAACGGCACGTAGTTAGCTATGTCTAGATAGACATTATCGATTTTATCAACGACCCACCCGGACCCCATGAGTGTGTAGCGTTCTAGGTATTCTCGTATCTGCTGAAAACTGGTATCGATTGATGTGTCTATGGTCTCTGTATCCGTAATCGACCTCTTGTCTGCCTCGAAGTAAGGCTGAGCGCATGCTCAGTGACCCCATTTCCCTGCTTATCGAGTGACATTTTCACTGTGATCTGAAACTTTATACTTCCCAGATTGTTTGTTCCTGGTTTATGTATCCTATCAGACATGATATCTGTGATGTCTATGTTCCTATCAACATGCATGGGCCAGCCTCT